ATGCTACGGTAGTGGTATGGGAGGAAGAATTCATTGATTCAAACAAAGTCTAACAAATACAAAGAGTCATTCCATTAGAAATGACATTCCATTAGAAATGTCCAAATTTTCAGTGCGCAAGGAAAATGTTCTTATTAATATGGTCAGCATACAACCTCGACCATCACGTGCTCGTATCCTTCCCACACTGTTAGTATGGTAGGGATACGAACGCGGGAATCAAATTTTGGCCGAGGTTGGATGCTGAGAACTATAACACTCAATTGCATAAATGCAATTGAGTGTTAAATTTTGGGGGATTCTCTTATAATAGAATCATCTAAAATCAAAACAAATTTTACATACATGCGTCGCGGAGAGAGAATAGCGGAAATAAGTGTCCTCCCAGTCTGGGAGTCCCAGAAACAACAATTACCTTTGTCTTGCACCATGACCACAATTTTTCAGTGCGACTACTCTTCTTCCCAAATTAAAACGTTTCATAAAACGACAATTGTCTTTGCTCGAATCAAACGATTAAAGCTTAGTACTCAGGAAGGAATTTTGACGCGAAGCGGCAGATTCTTTGATTTCTATTAAATTACACCTTCACAGGACTCCGGAATTTAAATACAATGTGTACCAAACATTTGTGTTTATATAAATCAACCCGAAAGTGTTCCCAACTTGCTTTTCCTATTTCATGCTAAACATTTTCATGCCAAAAATTCGCCCTGACCAAGGACCCCTGAGCACTAAATAGGTTTAAGCTCAATCCAAATTCCGCCCAATTAACCAGAAATCATGTGCTAGCTTCACAAATATCTAAATAAGGCGTCCACAATCGGAAGTTTTTATAAAATAAGTTTTTCGCTTATTCCGTTTTTTCAAATTTTGGTAAAACCGGTTTTCGATTAGGTAATCAGGTTTTGGAAAATTCTACGAAACCAGGTTTACCAATATATTAATCGGATTTTGGAAATTCGTAGGAAAAATGTGTTCGATTCGCACAAACCGGGTTTTGAAGACGGTTTTATTCCAAATTTTGAAAAAATTAGCAAATATAATAACCACAAATTGAATGCAAAATTCAAATTAAATGTAAACTTGGGAATAAAGGATTACAGCACAAATAATTCTTATCTCAATAATTAAACATTAAACATTAGATCCAAAAACATTCGTATTATTAAAAACCATAACCCGGTTTATCGAGTGTGTAAACACCGGATTTTTATAAAACCCATTTCTTCGAAAATTGTGAAACCGGTTTTTTGGAGAATTGTAAAAATTGTGACTTGTTTTTGCTTAAACCAAAAACCGGCTTTTACCTTTATATCAGCTTTTACGAAATTGGAAAAACCGATTTTGAATGCCTCCCCTACGTACCCGACGATATTCACTTTATTAGGGGGTGAAGCGAAGCGAAATCCCTTTATGGAAATGTCTTGTCTGTCTGTCTGTCTGTCTGTCCGTATCCACGATAACTTTAGAACGGGTTCGAATTTCGACATGCGGTTTTCGCCGACGTGTTTCTAATTTTTGAGGACGGGATGAGTTCGAAGATGGGCGTTGTAGGTGATAAGGTCACGGCGCCACGGTGATGACGCCAACGGTCAAAGGTGTCGAATTTTTTGTTTCGATCGTTTTAGATGTATTTTTGGACGGTGATTTCGAAAATCGCCATCATTTTGACGTGCGATGACCCCATGACCGTGTAGACGACGCCAATGTCGAAAATTGTCGAATTTTTTGTTTCGATGGTTTTAGATGTATGTTTGGACAAAGATTTCAGAAATCGCCATCATTTTGACGTGCCATGACCGTGTGACCGTGTCGCTTCACCCCTTTGCTACATTTCGTTTGCAACGGTTTATTTGAAATTAAATTCCCTAGCTCATTTCTTGAAATCAAATGTTACATGAGATTATGAACTCGTGGAGGGAGGTATGAAATTGTATGTAATACTACATTCTGTATGACACATTAACGTTCTCATGAGCTAAAGATCTAAACCCGTAAGAGCAGATTCGGGTTTATAATCGTTAGATTTTTGAGTAGGAACACACGGCTTGGCAAATGAAGTCTTCCTTACATTTTCCGACACTTACAATTTACTTTGTTGGTATGCAATTATCCTGCGGCGTGTGATAGGACAATTATATCTAGTGTATAGGACGTCCCGGTACGGCCCTTTGGGCCGTACGGCCTGGAGCCAGCGCTCCACCTAGAAGCATCGTCGGAACGGGCCTGGTACGAGTTACCTAACAGATAAGCCTAACAATGGAGAGGTGTAAGGTGGTTATCACCAATCGAGACCCGTATTTTTGCGTTTTCTCGAATGGGCATGTCTTGGCGGAATTAAAAAAAAAATTTCAGCCAAAATCTAGATTTTTTAAAATGCTGTAACTTTTCGAATTTTAACCCGATTTCAAAAAATAAACCCAACTTGTGTTCAGAATTACATCCCTGAAAATATAAAAATTCAGTTTTAATTTTTTTAAAATTTGATATTTTTATGCTGTTTCTGAATTTTTAGAAACCCGAAAAACGATAATTTTTTGAAAATTACAAGTTTTTTAAAAATTAGTTGTTATAATTTCAGGGATGCAATTCTGAACACAAGTTGGGTTTATTTTTTGAAATTGGGTTAAAATTCGAAAAGTTACAGTATTTTTAAAAATCCAGATGAAATTTTTTTTAAATTCTGCCAAGGGCGTAAACATGCCCATTAAGGAAAACCCAAAAGTACGGGCCCACTTATTTCTGGGCCTGAACAATTTAAAGTTAGTCCGTTGGATATCGGCGATAACCACCTTACACCTCCTCAATGAGATGTCGTCGTGGGCTTGTCTGTTGATAAAAAAACCTTCCTTCAGTACCGTGTGCTGCGACGAATAATGTTTAATGCGACCACGTAAAGCAAAGATTGATAAGGAACATTTCAGGGTTTGAGCATTCTATTTGCTAAATACGCTGCTGCAAAATGTTTCTATGACTATAGCCAAACTACATATTTGTGCTAGTCACCTCATTTGCATATTTTGACGCATTCGCGAGAGACACAGAGTGTATTCAACATGGAAAGCCCGTATCGCCGAAAATGGGCATAGTGAGATTTATGCAAATGGGGTGACACGCCAAACCAAGGATAAGAGGATAGTTATTTTATGCCCATTCTAATTAACCTTTTATTCCCACGAACAGCACGGCAGGGTCGATCCTACTTCCAATTGGAGAACCTGATTCGATTAAAAGATTGAAACTGATTTCCGACCGAATCCGCGCCTACAATTCAACCAGGCTCGCAGTACTTGGGGCGTACATGTATAAAATATGTATGTCTGCCTTACCACTCCCAACACTTCGGAAATTTTGGAAAAATCCCCCCACGCAGGCCCCCGTGATGGTGAATAATATTTATGGACCGCCACAAAAATATTACTTGTACGGAGATCCAGTCCACATTCCATTTCTTGGGGTTAATATCGCTCGAAATCAAGGTACAAAGTTGCACTGTCAAAAATCTGGTACTGATTTCTAGGTATTAAAGTTACTACCGTTTGGTATTAAAGTTATAGCGGTTCATAGTAATTTGCTACCGATATGGTCAAATTTTAATACTGATTTATCATACAATACACGGTATTATCTACTTATGTATCAGTACCACTTTTGATAGCGTCATTCATGAATACCGCTTGGTATTATTTTAATACTGGATTTCTAAGAGGGTTCACATCAATAAATATGTATGTAACAAAATTGTTGATAAGCTAAGTTACCAATTCATATTTATGTATGTAGGTTTGGCGTACGATACTCGTTTCTATAGCTATGGCGGGACCGGATATCTCGGAGTGAGCGGATTTGAAGAATATTTTTCGAACACGGAAGAAGCATCGAAATACCTCAATAATTGTTTCTCTGAATGGGAAAAGCTTTCCAGAATGACGGATGCTTTTGAAGTTTGACTTATATTTTTTGTTACCGCTGAATGTTCTGATCAACAATTGTATGCACCAAGTTTGCGCAACCGGTGTAATACGCATTGCGTGTTTACGTTCTGCATAGAGAATAATGCAAAGTATAAAAAACCATAATTCAGCTTTTGTCCACTAAATGAAATGCTTTTTTTAACAAATGTGATCTATAAATGGTAAAATTTGAAAACGAGCATCAAATAAAAATATGGTTTCGTTAATTTCTAAGCGTGAATAATTTAAACTTACGGATATAATCACCTTACACCTTCCCATTGTAAGTGAGAGCATAGTAATGCATTGCTAACAACAGAAAATGTGATGCATATACGAGCAATTGATATGTATGTATGTGTATACATATATGTATGTACCTGATTAATTTTATATGCATATATATGTACCTATATACGAAATGGTGATATTTTTGTAACGATATTTACGATTTTCGTTTGAAAGATATTATAAAACACTTTATCGGCCAGAACCTAATTGCTGTTATAAAATAATTTGTAACTTGCCAAATTGGGCAGTTAATGAATAAACCAATTTTCATTAAACGGTTGGGTGGGTAAGTTGTCGGATAAATTTATCGAGTGGCCTGTTAGCTCAATCGGCAGAGCGTGGTGCTAATAACGCCAAGGTCCTGGGTTCGATCCCCAGACGGGCCAGTATTTTTGCCTCCTTAATAACTTTTTTAACATTTCGTCAATATACCTCAGGGTGACATAAGCATGCCATTTTGTCAAAATACTATACTATTGGGACGATATTGTGACTTTAATCCTAGTCATCAAATTAGGATTCTAAAATATAAATTTTAATTTTCGTTTTAAGTTGTTCTTAACCCGACAGTAAAAAATAAAAACAATCGGAGGTTTGGGAACAAATACTTTTCCAATTTTTGATTTTATTTTTGCAGTATTTGATGTACTGTAATTTCGAAAAAAATAAAAGAACAGTTTGATTTCATTAAAAAATTAATGCATAGTTCCGCAGAAAATAAATATGATTAAAGAATCTGTACACATACATATCTATATATTTCCTACAGCACAATTTATTGTCGTACTATTTATCTAGTTTTCGGACAAACAAAAAATTTCTAATACATTTTTTCTGATAGGTAAGTTAATTTGTTAACTAAATAAAATTATTGTAATTGGACGAATTTAAGTTTGACGATCTTGCCCCGCAATCCAGCACCAATAATGGGGGTGGATTATGGAGCAAAAACGGCAAACTTAAATTCCTCAAAGTACACTGAAACGTTGGTCAAAGGCATTCTCATCTGTTGGCGACGGAGGTCGGCTGGATAGTCAATCTATTCTAAATGGTCCACATCACCATCTTCTCAATCTCACGAAGGGTCGGGATAATGCCTGCAAAACCATGGGACATTTATATGCATGGAAGTAATTTACGTGATAGATAAATTCTGTGAGCACACTTTACAAACTTGTCACCGAGTGTGTGTCATGTACCATATGCACCGAGTTGGTAAATATTAGCATTAATTATTCTCAGAATTCTTGCAAATGAATAAATATGTGTACGCAAGTACATATTTGTTACGAAGCTAGACTAGCTTCGTAATAAATATGTACATACGTACATACATACGTATGTGTAAGCATTGTACCTAATGCCGTAGGCATGTATTACCAATAATTTACATATTATCATCTAACGAGGCATACGTACATATGTAGGCGTGCTATTCTTTAACCACAATCGGTGACAATTTTATGTGTACAACGTTCTTGATGAAAAATCTCCGTCATTTCTGTACCTGATTGGTACCTCCATATATTTTCTACACGGTGGCTGCGTAGTTAGTAACGCTAATTTATGTTTTTCACCTAAAAAAAATAAATATGTGTATACATATTTACAAAATTGCAAGACTTTACATGACAATAATTATTTTTGTGATGTATGACGATGAATAAAGTTTAATAATTTACATACCGTTTCCACATACGTGATGAAATATGACCCCTACATTTTATCTGTCACCATGCCGATACTTTGTAATATTCGAGTAAACGTTGCTACATTACTGACGTGGAAATGGGAATGGTTTCATTCCAGTAATAAACCAACGAACAAAATCACATTCGTAATGAAAAGGTTGTCACGTTTAGAGCACGACTTTAAGCATGGGAACATCCACGCAGAATATTAGGTCTTACTATGCGAATAATAATAAGACTGAAAAAAATCGATGCTTGCTCCTTAACAAGTTTAGTTTGGCAAGGCAGCACTCCACAATTTTTGGAGGAACGTTTCTCTCATAAATGATACGAGTGGGGTCGGGTGGATTATAGGGGGCGGTGAATGAAGGATGTCATCAAGTTGATGAGATGGGGGTCACTCCATTATTATTCAAGGTATTTTAATTATGGCATAAAATTTGCAAATGTACTCTACATATGTAAATGAATATGGGTTACATACTTTATGCATGGTCCATAATGCATGTTATCTGTCCTAAAAGGAGCACTGGTCCCTCTCCAGTTTTGATAAGACGACACGTGTCAACTCCATGGATATGGAGAGAGAGATAGAGATGAATAAAATTCTGGCTGGATCCGTGATAAGTTTTGTTATATTCGGAAGAATAAGAATAATTGAAAGTGTGGAATTATGAGTTTCATGATATTTGTATATGTTTTTTTAAGTTCTGGAAAAAATTGATGCAAAGATTATATAATGGCGATATTTTGTTACAGATTATGGTTCAGCATGCACAAATTAATTGCCATTCCAAGTTTAGTATGTACGTAATTAAAAATATTTATTACATTATCATCATCATTGTATGTATCATATTGGAGTAAAAATCGTATTTGCACAGTGTCCATTAATTCATTTTACTTGATTTTATGTACATATCATTTGCATATAAAATCCTGTACGACCAATATTACATTTTATTCTGTAAAACTAATTAATTAATTGATCCCTAGTTAAACAAATTTTTAATAACATAGTGATCTTGTTACTATATTTGTCAAAATTTGTGCAAATCATCCACTTTTAAGCAGTAACCGTTATCTATCGTTTCACAGATAACGATGAATGCTTAAGTTTGCCGTTTTTGCACATTTCTCAGAATTAGGAATGATTACACTCCATTTGAAAAATGATGTGTGAGACTCACACTGTGAAAAAACTTTTTAGTCGAAAATTGTCTCTCACGTTGTAACTTACAACTTGTAAGAATGACATTTTTCAGATACATTGAAGTACCAGCGAAAGCTTGGACACTTCACTTGCACGGTTTATGCAAGATTTATGTATTTGTTTTTGAAAACTGTCTCTGCATTTACAGAATGACATTTTTCACTTTCCATGAAACGCCAGCGAAAGCTTGGTCGTTTCATTGGAGTATTTGCACGATTTATGCAGAAGTGATTTCCTGATCCAGTTCTGGATCACGGATATCTGGTAAGAAGACGGTGTCGTCAATGTCGAAGGAGTCATTGAGCGGTGTGACCTCAATGTTATCGAGGTCATGATGACCACCGTCCATTTTTGACTCAGCGTCCAGTCCGCTGTTGATAAGTCGCTTGGCGTTCTCCTTCCGTAGATGTTCTATGATTCCGTCGGAGACGACTTTATCCGCCAATAACTTAAGCTTTTCAGCTCGCAGGGTAGCATTTTCCCTTTGCAGGGATTCCCTTTCCGCAAGCAACTCGGCCAAGCGTTGTTTTGCCTGGTCCCGATTTTTCTTAGCGGTCACGGCGTTGCGTACCTTTTTATCTTGAAGGTTAGGGTCGTTATATTTTTTTGGTTTTTTGGGAAGTGGTTCCTCCGGAGGTATTTGTTTGCGGGGTCGGCCAGGTTTTCTCTTCGGTGGCGGGGGTGATTCGTCCCTTGGAGAGGAAACTGCTTGGTCGAGAGGAGGGGATAAGATGACATCCTGAACCTGTTCCGAGTCTGCAGCAGCCGATAAGATGATATCTTGGCCTCCTAGGTGCTCGAGAAGGGGGGAAGGATTGACATCCGGAAGTTGTTCCGAGTCGACACCCGGAGCTCGTAATAGCTCAAAATGCACACCGTCTGGAGGGTCTTGACCTTGCCCGTCCAGTGCGACTGGCCGAACGACGAACCACACTGGTTCGGAAAGGCTTCCGTCAAGGTCATGCTGGACCGCTTCCTGCCTTTCCATGTGCTTAAATAAGTCATCGAAATTATCACAGAATTCTGAACTTTCTTCCTGTTCCTGCATAATCTGTGGGGGCAATTAATAATTAAATTGTAATCAAAATTACAAGCTTGAAGGTGTACAGATAATTATTTTAATTGTTATGTCATTACCTAAATACGCGTGTTTAGGTTGAGTCCGTTTAATCAAGTTGATAGTATTTTTCTTCCTAAAATTATTTCAGCACTGAAAGAGATATAACAAAATTTAGATATTTCGCCAATATTTCTGTATAGCAATTTTAGTGAGCATGTGTGTACATATATAATTCCTCTATTTCATGTATAACAATGTATGTAAAAATTAAAAAAATATGTGTGCTATGTACATATTTTTTATTATGACGTGAAACACTTTCTTGGCGATTTTTTAAATTTAGATGTTCTTATTGATTTCAGTTGAGTTTGCAAAGGTAAATAGGATTTAAAATTTGCGAGTCGTTACCATCTAGATTTTCATCCATATTTTGAACAATGTTTTTTATATAGATTTGCAACCTATTTCATACAGTAATGAAATATTTAATCATAAAAAATTGCACACATTTATCATATGTCGCATGTGTGAGAAACTTTTTTTAATCTACAATTCTAAAAAAATATTGAAAAATATCAACAAATAAAAATACTCATTACATACATGACATTTTATCGGAACTCATCGATGAACATAAATTGTACTCACTTACATATGTATGACGAGTCAAATTTGTATCAAAACTTACGTCTCGATCGCCTTTAATTTGCTCCCATTTCGAAAAATATTGCTGGAACAATCCGGCCGTTTGTATGTGGATGGTAAACCCCACTGAACAATAATTGCCGACAAGTTAACCAGTGTGCAATTATTTGTGAGAGAAGAGACAAGACGTATGCAAGAATTTAATTCGCAATGACTCATTTAGCACGCTGTCACACCGTTTTGCAAGGGGAGCGAACGCATATTAAAAAATGAATGTGCGAGACGATTGAATTTTTATATGGTGTGCAAATTGGTCATTTTTTGGTAATTTGGTCTTGATTTAAATTAGTAGTTTTATAACATTCATAACAATACAATGGATGGATGCTTCATTGCAAAAATGGTTTGACAACATTCGAAATATCAATTTCTTCAATAACGTAATGCTTTGTTCAAGCCAAGTGCAAATTGGATGAGGGAATGAGGCAGGTTTGGGGATCGGGTGGCTGAGTTTGGTTTGCGAATCCAGTTTGCAAATCAAAGCTTACGTGGCGTTAACTCTGATAAAAAAATACTTGACTTTGTTCAAGGACTGTGCAGAAAGTATGTGATCGATTTGAGAAAGGATAGAGGTTAAGGTATCCTATCCTTCTCATGTTAATTATAACATGGGGCGTATAAGTTGGGTAGAGGTCAAAATTTCCAGAAAACCGGTCACATGTTTTATGTACGGCCCCTCATCTGCATAGACTGGGAATGCATGCATCTTGGTCAGCTTTTCATGCATCTAACAATAAGTATCATGAATTTATCTAAGCTAATTTATATTTACATGCATACTTATTTAGTCACACTTAAATGACGGAAGCTGATCGGTAAATTGTTTTCTCCGCGTAAATAAACCTCTTCTTGACACAAAGTTTCATGTTACTTTGTTAACGTTTAATTATATATGGCTATTTAATTTGAATTTTTATACCTCAACTTCCCTTTTTCCATGTATTTATTCTAGTGGCGATTTTGAAACCTGATTATCTCTCTGCAATTTTAATAAACCGTTGCAAACGAAAGGTAGCATAGGGATGAAGCGACAGGGTCACACGGTCATCACACGTCAAAAGTATGTCGATTTTTGAAATCATCGCCCAATACTACGTCTAAAAGCGTCGAAACAAAAAATTCGACATCTTTGAGAGTTATATCTCAAAAATACGGGATGGGAACAAAGCCGAGTTCAGAATGACAAGAACATTTGATTCATTTAAATATATAAAATTCATGCAAAACTTCAATACAAGCATAGAAATAATATGCTTGACAAGAATCAAAGCAAGGTTAATTATTTTTAATGAATTTTGGACTCTATATTATTTTGCAATTTTTGCACCTTTAAAGCTCTGCATTTGCACGATTCAAAATAATTTTGTCTCTAGTTCCTCAGCTCAACTCATTTAATCAGCTTGATAATACCAAATTGGCTTACTAACTTCCTCCCGGATTGGTAGTAGTTTGCTTCTGACTGGTACATACATAAGTTTTCATTACCCTGCAAAAAGCTTGACGGCAATAATGCACTATTGCCGTCAACAACGGGAATTATCATACGTAACTAGAGATTTCAAATTTTTTAATTTAATTTATACACTGGCAAAATAGATAAATACATAAATGATTAGAAAGTAAGTTCGTAGTAGTCACATGAGCATGGAAATCAATTAAGCCTTCAATTAAAAGATATGGATTTTGCATAGGTCGTCGTGATGTACTTTGTACACACGTACATACGTACATACGTTCGTACATTATCTGAGAACACCTGCAAGTTCATATCGATTTAATTAGAGCTCTCAAGTGGAACTTGGTTTAGCCCGATGTGCATTGTACATAGAAAAAGATCACACTTATTTAACCGCGCAAATTATTTGTGAAGAAACAGAATTAAGTACAATTCACTCAAGGTTACAAGTGGTATATATCACTGAGTGAGATATAATGATTTATATCAATCATACCAGTTGGGGCTGAGTGAGAACTATGAGAAGTAATGAGACAAACTTGTAATTCATGACCCCATCCGCTAGGTGGCGCTAGTGCATGTCTCATAAATCTCACTAAATTGCATATTTCTAATGTCTCACTATTTGTCATTATAGATATCTCAGTTAGATTAGATTTCTGCAACCCTGATGTTAAATCTCATTTTAGTTTAGCATAGAGTAAGAATTTGAGCTTCGTTTCAGAATGAGAGTGCAAAGAGTCTTGGTGTGAGCGTGAGAGAGAGAAGGCATGGCCGTGTGTAATTATTTTAATCTCTTCTCAATTTTAATAAATAGTCTAATTAATTTTCGTGATTAGTGGTCACTATTAAATGATAAGTCAGCCGATTCATGTTATATATTTGTTGGTGGAATTGGGACAATAAAATCAGTTTAAAGTGAGCTAGTCATCGAGTCTTGTGTCACTTCATATAACGACAGGATAAGCCATTTTTTCCGAGACGGGTCCCAACGGGTAGTTGGATAAACAGCGGTCTCAACACCTGAAATCACTATTCAATGTGGCTACATAACTTGGACAGAATAAAATAATGTCTTCGCACCCTATAAATATGTATCTATGCAATTTAAATCGTTGTTAAAAAACATTTATCTATATCTCATCAAGCAATTCTAGAAGAGATAATTATTCCTTTCCCAACCCTTCTCCGTCGTTACGACTGCAGAACCTATTAAATAATTTAATGAATTACTGGCTTTATTTTCCTGAAATCTGTTTATCCGTTTTTTAATCCGAAAGTTCGAATTTTTTCTTACTTCACTTGTATAAAAATGTATATTACAAATTTAATTCCTAATACTTTTTTCACCATTTATTAACCTCCTAGTCGTTAAATAGTCCATCCCCGATTTTTGAAGCATGTAACGCTCTTGCCTGTTAACAACCATTTTGTCCTATTTACATGCTTGCCAATAGAAAGCTAATCCTACAGAATGTTCGGCACGTCGGGTCACCTAAGTCAATACGGACTACATAAAACGCCACCCTCAGTCCAATTCTGGGCAGTTATTTTCCAGCCGGACCACCACCACCACTGGTAACGAGTAAAATGACCACAACCAAACATTTCGTTCTGCTTCTCTCCATCGCTTCCCTTCACCAAGAATGTGCCGCTGGTTGGGACACTTGCAACGCCACGGTTCCCTGCCCCTTAAGTAATGGGATCCAAAAGAATTGCGAGTACCAAATGGGCATTGGTGGCGGATGTGCCTGCAACACGTGTCTATGTCCTCGTCACGCACCGGAAATTCTCCCCCTGGGCTGCATCCTACTTCCTATGAAGGTCGGGCAAAGCTGTCTCCACCAGTCGTCCCTCGACCCGCGAAATTACACGCTTTCCTGCAGTTTAATTCCAGGCAATCCAGAGTGCCACCCAATCTCGAAGACTTGTCGGTGTAAAACCGACCTTTATCCGAGTGACGATTTGACAGCATGCATTCCAAAACCGGTCGCGCTTGGAGAATCCTGCTCGACCGAGGCGAAATGTGAGGACAACATTTTCCGCGGAATTTGCAACGAGGAAGGTCGTTGTGCATGTGAGACAGGTTTCTTCCCGCATGTGGATGGGAGGTAAATTTGTTGAGATTTTGTGGGTATTTTTGAAAAAAAGTGGGTAAAATCAAGGTTTCTACGGTTTTCAGATCATGCATCGAAGCGCCGAAAATTGTAGGGGAAATGTGCGCCGAAGCAAATCCGTGTGACAATATTCCATTTGCGGAATGTGTTCTTGATGGGCAAGGTGAGATATTGACGTGTCAGTGTCCCCCACTGTACAAAATTCCACACATTGGTGAAGCAAATAGATGTCTAGCGTCACAGATTGGCCTCCCGTGCTTGCGTGAAAGTTCGAACTGTGATCTTCTCCGAGGAGCGCGGTGTTATGGGAGTGAGGCCAAGTCAGTCTGCCTTTGCCCCAATGGTTTCCCCAATGAGGAGTTGACCACATGTGGGAGATAATTCTATATCCTTATGTGTACTTTTTTTCTTTTTTCAAATCTTTTCCATGGTTCGAAAATCAAAATCGGTATTTAATATTATTTAGAATAAATTCGATTAAAGTAAAAATTATTTCCATGCAGAAAGTAAGATCTATAAGCTTTGTTGCTTTTTTAAACATCCAAACAACAATTAAGCCTTACCCTCACGCTCGGAGAGAAGTTGGAGTTGGGGCAGTCTTCCCAGTTTCATCCTTCTCTCTCGCTTTGCGTAATGCATTGAATCGCCTATCTCGAAACTTCGCATTGACCCTGTGGGGGGGGGAGGAGTCGACCTCAGGGAAATGCATCCACCGGTGTTCGGAATTTGGTTTTCTGCGTCTGATGGTATTTTTTTCAAATTTTTTGGACTGGCGCAAGGTACTCTTATGCCCCTTACCATCAAGTTGTGTAACCTTATGTAGACTTTCGAAGTGCTATCTTGCTAATCGATATCACCTCGAAAGTCTCGCAAAATTTATTTTGTGAGGTGATACGAATTCCGGCAAGAAATAACTTTGTTAAGCCTAACAAGTTTGCTAAATGATTGCGATGATGTCGTGAGTACGCTCTTTGTGTGTCCAACATGATTCTTGGATTTCTGTAATATCCACATTCTAGCTCGAATTATTAGCTTGAGAAGTCGACATTTTTACCATATGCATATTGGACAAAGATATTGGAAACAAGTTCAAAGATATGCTACATCGGTCACCTAGTTGACCTGTGGGGGCCGTATTGGGTTGGTGTGTAAAGCAAAGTGTAACCATAGAGAAGGTGACCCATCAATTAAAAAAAATATTACTTCCATCTGAAATTTGGTATGGAGGTTGAAAATGAAGTCTGTACTGTAGAAATGTAACTTGAAATTTGTAAAGCTTATAAAATTGTTGCAAACTCAAGAAAAAGTAGAAAAATTCCAGTTATTTTAACAATATACATGTTACCCGGTACCCGGCCGGGTAGCCGGGTACCCGGCAAAAATTTTAGGCCGAGTACCGGGTAGCCGGGTACCGGGTAGTAGCACTACCCGGGGCAACCCTATTCATTTCAAAAACCTTGGATTTAAAAAATTAATGTTTTTTTTTAATTTTCAATAATTTAGAATGATATGCACAACATTAAAATATCAAATGTTTAAAACCTTTCAAAATTATTTTTTTTACAATTTCAGCGAATTAATTCTTAGAAAAAATTTTGCTTGATTTTTGAACTATGGTTAAAATTGGCAAAGTCAGGACTTTTTTGGTCGTCCAACATTTTGAAAGCTTAATTTTCATGCATGCAATTTTCATGCATGGTGGGACAAAATAGGTTATGTAACCTATTTATTTTGTCCCACCATTTTCGATCCATCTCAAAACAAACCGAACTGAGGAACATGGTCTTCCTGCCCAAAATTAGGTCAAGGTCACAATTCCACCCCCCAGGCTTGATGTATCCCCCTGTGTCATCCCGACCACTTGAACTCTATTTCTAATTGTCCAAGCGACCAGCTCCTCTTCCAATCTTCCATATATCCCCGTGGACACATAATATCTTGTAAGATTTGAGATGCCTCCATTCTAAAACACAAGCCCTACCAGGGTCCGCTTGAGAACTCCTTTGTGCAATTTTTTTTAAATAATTCTTTTCCAAAAATGCCACCTCCATCTCAATTTGCTCACGCTTAGTGATAAGCACACTTTTCCCGCAAGTCCCTAACTCTGTCCCGACAAAATCTTGGAGTTGTTGCACCGTGTAGACGGTCCCATTCGTATAGTCGACACCGTTCGGTTCATGGGCATGCCGAGGGTTCAAAAGCCTCAGGATTTTTTCTTCATTAACATGATTCGAGTTCTCCTCCACACTCTCAATAATTTTTTAACAAAAGTGTTACCGGCGGAGATACTATGCAACTCTACCGCGTGGTAACAATATACATAGTCAGAAACACTCAAGTGTCAACAGCTGATTTCACCAAAAGTACCCGTCAGAATTAAAAACGGATACGTACATTAGAAAGCCCATGCGATTTCGATTCCGAATCACTTTTCCATTCCAAATTATTCGAAAAAACGGCCCAAATAGAAAACTTTGAAATGAGGATGTCGGCGATTTTTTGCTCACTTCGAGAATGAGCAAAAATTCTTCAATTGAAAAATCTTTAAAATATCTCAAACTCAAGTCTGACGTAGCCAAGTGCATACTTAAAATGTGAGTAGAACCTTGGGCTACAACAAAACGTAAACCACACCCACCTAAAAAATCTTACATTGCCCCCAAAGCTTTCAAAGCCAGAACCTGGCAAATGAACGATATATTTGTTAAAAGTGACCCCAGAGACCAGAGGGTCAAAATAAAAAATCATTATGCAGCGCATAAATAACCTTGTGGTCAGGGTTTCGAAATGCGGTAACCATCATACGCTTACTACTTCTCAAAATTGAGAAAGATTAAAAACCCCCAAAGTTTTTTTGCGAGGTACGCGAAATTTGTTTTCTTCCGAAGAGAGTTTTCCACTTGAGATCTTTCTTAGTTTTAACGTATATTATAACCCCCAATCAAGTTTTCTATACGCTCCATATATGTGAGTTGTCTATCAAAAAATAAAATCTTCACAAATGTCATCCCTGGATTTGCATGGAGCAAGTTAGTACAAAAAGGGGAAAAATTCCCCTTTTCTACAGAAATCATTAACCAAGGCCAACCATGACGCGGAAGTTGGCGTCTTTTATGGTGTAGAATCCGGGATACATGTACTACTCAAAAATAATGGTAGGACCTTTTAAGCGGTAGTTGTTCCAAAATACGATGCAAAAGTTGTCAAAAAGCGTTTTTTTCTCATTTTTGTGACTTTCACACACCGCATGGATATGACCACAACAAACAGACCACACCCCTTTCAGCAACGACAAAGGGCTTAAATTAAAGATAATCGCATGGTCTAAATCCCCCGAAATAATAAAGCTTTAGAAAAAATGATTACTCATATTCCCGAGCATTTTTTTCATGAAAACAAGTGCGTACTTTTGGCAGGGTCTGTTTGGCTCTTTTTTAGTTGGCCATTTTCACATAAGATATTAATTTTGATGATTGAGCATTGTTTCTGGATTAGAATTTCATTGGCTTTCCAGTGCAGGGAACCAGAAATTGATAAATGGAAAATTAGAATATTTATAGCGTATTGCATCATTGACACTTGAGTGTTTCCGACTATGTAGTAACAAATTGTCTTCTGAGGGTAAGAAATTGCCTCCGATATCGGTAATATTTTTATTATTTGAGCGTTGACATTGGGGGTCGGGCAGAATTTAGCCTCTGTATATATGCTACCCTTCGGTGATAAATTATTACCCGAGCGGTAGAATTGCATAGTACCTCCGCCGGTAACAATATCGTCAAAAAATTATTGAGAGTGCATTGTCCTCATTACGGCATGAAACAATTAATCAGATCAACGGTTGATCAGAAACATTATGAACTACATACATACATCAATTTGGCATGTTTTTATTTTGTAAAAATTATTTCGTAGGTTCATCCTCTCTTTAGAAATGCTATTGAAATTGTATACAGACAGTCCATAGAAATTAATTAAAATATGTACAATTATGGTATTGTAGTGATTTTCTAAATCTGCGAAATCAAACTCTCACACGTCTGACATCCGACATTCTCAAGTGTGATAAGCAAATGAGTTGAGATACTATTTTAATAAGACGTTCTACAATTACGTGCTTTTATATTTGTACATTTTTGGACATCTTTGTGTCCAATATGTGACGAAACTGATACTATGTTTAGCAATGACAAAAAGCAGGAAAAACAAGGCGAATATAATGACCGCATACGCGGCTATCACATCGAGTGAGTGGTATTGAATTAGCGACAGATTTCGTGCCGCTGACCGAAGGTGAGGAGCGCCTGAAATAGTGCAGAACTATAAAGTTATTATCATTAAGTTAGGCCTTATTTTAATGGGTTTCTTACCATTATGCCGCATGACATACTCCACCCAGAAAAGCGCCCTGTCCAGCGGATTATCGATCTGGTCACGGAAAATGGTGGATAAGCGTTTCACATTGTCACGATACCTATGGAGAGAAAATCGTTAAAGGATTATCCAGATCGAAGAATTGTGAAAGTGCTTAAAATGAAATGATCATTTATCAAACATTGTCGCAATAATTTTTGTCTCGAAAGGGAGCAAATATGGCAAATTAGTGGAAGAGAAGAATGGTAAATTGTAAATATTTTCAGAAAATATTTTCGCAATACCCTGGACTTTTGGATTAGAAGAAAGTTTAGGTAGGGTTTATAATGCATGTGGAAAATTCTATGCAACCTGATTATCCGGCCGCGTCTTATTTATTTATGGCATGAATCCGATCCGAACAGTCAGGTCCGACAGTATCTGATCTCTCCGGATCGGATCAATGTTTCAGTAAACGGCCAAATAAAAATATGCTCCGATCCGACCCGAAATTTCCGGATCGGATCTAATAACTCTCATGCTGAATCATAAACCGTGCGACTTGCATACTTTGAATTATTGATGACTTCATTTATCGCCTCGATAAGCCTTTCTTCCGTTACGTCCTTCCACTCTAGTCGGACGAGGAAACCCTGCCTCTCGGCGGTCAACGCGTTGAGGGGTTGGTCTCCAAAGAAGGGAATTCCGATAAGCGGCACCCCGTGGAAGATGGCCTCCTCAATCCCTCCCGCGCCACAATGCGTGATAAAAAGACGAATTTTCGGATGTCCGAGGAGGTCCTGTTGGGGAATCCATTTGCTGAGATAAACGTTTTTCGGCACGTTTTCTATATCGTCGGATTCATACTTCCAAATCACTTTTTGCTTCAAACGGGAAAATACGTTGAGCAACATGGCTTTCTTTTGAACAGACATCGCGCTTGAGAGCAGATTTGTCCCGAGTGAAAAGAGGATGAAACCATCGTCGTCGGTACGGTTTCCGGAGGAGAGGAAGTTTTCAATTTCCTGAAAAAAGTGGACAATTAAGCCATCCTGCCAAGATTAAATTGCTATGTAGGGCATTAAAAATAAGCCTTCCGATTTTGTAGAACCGGTTACATAACAACCGATTTTCGATTTAACGGAAAATGCAAACAATCGAAGATACGATTTTTGCAAAGTTCTAAAAATCGGAATAATCCAATACTAGATTTTCAAATGTTGCTAAAATCGAAATAATCGAAAAATGGCTTTTCCACAAATAATTCAAACTGGCATACCCGAAAACCGATTAGTATCAAAATTGTTTTTCAGAATTTTCCGATTTAAGATGCCCTAACCTTCGGCAATCGTTTCGCCTTTCGCGAATGCATTCCCCCAACTTCCACCACATTTGGGAGGTTCGGTCTCGGTGGACTCGTGGAAAAGTGGCCGTTTGACAAAACCAGGGCCGTCTTGCTTAGCACTTCCGCCACGGAGGGGGCATCCCGCCCAAGCTTATCCTTGTACACGGCCTCCATCGCGGGAAGGTAGTAAAACCTGCGAACCGCTTCGTGTAGATGATTCGCCCCAAAATTCACCAACCTTTGCGAGAAGGTCATCTTATCGTTGAAATCGAGGTAGGGATTCGACACGAATGAGCTGGGGTGGTTTCCCCCGACATAATTCAAAATTCTGTAATCCGCATTAAGCACGGAGAAGACGATGAGTGGGGGCGCGGTCGATTTTGTCCCATTTTTAGTCAAAATTTTGTCCACGAAGCCAAGGGCACACTCATTGTAGACGTATTGAAGAAGGACGAGGTCAAAGTCTTGCTCATACAAGGCCTCGATTTCGGGGCGGTCATACATTTCCCGGCAACGTTTCGGAACACTTCGCGCCAATATGGAGACCAAGTTGATGGCCTCGTTCCGCTCCAGCATGGCGAAGGGGTCGACAGGATTTTCCTTAAGGATCGCGTCCCCATCGAGGCTAAAAATTTGGTGGATGTTGGCCTCCTTCGTGAGCCCTTGGGATGGGGAGATTAAGGTGACCTGAGAAATGTTCAAGACAAAAATTATTTTCGCAACGATGTACCCTTATGTCAATTCGCTTCGCTTGCGTAAATTCACAATTCCAATTTTGTACACTCTGTGTAAATAAAAACGTGCAAATCATATAGTTTGCTAGTTATTTATTTTGGATAGCTTATACACATATCGTAAAGACTCTATTTATAGCCGGGTCTAAAGACGGCACAAATCCGAATACAATTTCAAACCGGGTATAATTAGAGACCCGGGTAAATTATTATTTGGTTATGCATAACTTGAAGCATCTAAAAACGGACACTAAAGTAATGCCATAATTAGGGACAAGCTTATTAAATTTTTCAAACTTGGGCTCAAGACCCGGCTATAAATAGACTCTTTACGGTACATGCAATTAGAGGAGAACGTGAAATTTGACGAGGCTTAAACCCTCTAAGAAAATCCGAGCGATAAGTATGTTTGTACTAATTTCTGACAAATTGAATATTTCTATTTGAATAAAAAGTGGTAAAAATAAAAGAAAAGTTTCTATAGCGGATGGGAAGGTTTTTTGGGGGTGGTCAGAATCTGACCGTCAGATACTATGTATACGTACACCTTGTATGCATAAAGATGCATAATAAAACCTTACATTATCACCCCTTCTCGCCAATTCCTCCAGGAGGGGGAGATACGTAATTACGTGACTTTTGCCTCCGACAAACTCGACAGACAAGATGTTCCTGCCCTCAACTTTTCCAAATGGTAGCGTCCATCCGAGAAGAAGAAGGAACAATAGCAGCGCCACAGTTACACCATTTCTAAAACTTTGCATCCTGATTACTTTATACCCAGGGATTGATTAGTTGTCTGATGAGATGACTGACTCCATGTGGGACCCGGTGTGTAGATATATATATTAGAATTTTATCATGGTTTGTGCGATTTTGAGAAGGTGAATACCAGTTAATCAAGTATTAAAATTGATCTGATTGAATCAATCATCTCCATACAGGGAAAGTGATCGCATTATGTATGGGCTAATAAACCTTAGCAAACGCACATGTACAAGTAGCTTCAGTCTCGATCCGTTCCCCCATTCTCCTGCTGAGGGACGATTTGACAGACAGACAGAGTCTTCACAATAAGTAGCTGAAGCTACCCACTTACATACATACTAATTCAATACGCGGAAAGTGATCGCAAAACGTGTGTACATACTTGGATATCAATCTATTAATCTTGTAATGGCAGTACTTTCAATGATGGGTACAGGAAAAGTTGTTAGACTTGGAGTACATAAGTACATCCCATAATCCCATGTCGCTAATGAATTAATATGCAAATATGTGTAGAGGAAAAGTACTGACAATACATATACAAGGCCTCAAGAAATTGGTACGTATATTGCATATGCACATAGGTTTATCCACATGTAAAATTCCATCTCCAAGCACAGTCAGAATAATTACATGCATCTTCTAACTGCACGTGCAGAGCAAAATATTTTTCCCATTGATTAATCATATTTAAATTTCAACTCTGTTTTTTAAACGCCCTTGATACTGACATGTGCATGTATGTACGTAGCTCTGATCTAAATAAATAAGCATGTACGCATGTATGTAACTAAAAAACGAAAATAATTTTTTTCAAAAGTTCTGGCACAAAATTGGCTGCAATAGTTGACAATTTATTTAACTTTGTGCATGAAAGAAAAAACTGCTGAAAAACTTGATTTATTTATTTAAATTGCCAAATTATTAGTATGTATGTAATTGTACTTGCATCTAATCTCGTAATCTTGCATCGCATTATAAACTTGTTTTCGTCTAATAAAGGTGATTGACAATTAGGACCAAAACGCATTACTAGTTTAGAATTAGAATACAAACTTCCCAAGTTACAAAACAAACGTAAGAAAAACACGTGGCACGTTATAAAAAATGATGAAACAGAGTATGCCAAGGGTAATAAACCGTTACAACGCATGTAACCAAGGGGTGAAAGTAGTGCGTCATACGTCAAAGTGAATATCAAATTTTTCGAAAATTTGTTAAGACTGATACTTCTAACGTGTTTTCGACGTTTGTGTCTTATTTGTGTCAAATTTAACAGTCGATAACCCTTTTTGTGACCTTTATATGACCTCTGAGGTCAAAATGGAGGTCACCATTGAATTCGGGGTTAAATTTCAGTTCAAATTGACATAGATATGACCTATAATCTTTACATGACCTCTGAGGTCAAAATGGAGGTCACCATTGAATTCGACGTTGAAAAATAGTTAAAAATGATGTGTCACCTGTCAAAACTGACACGTGACACTTTTTCGTCACTGTGACGACGTCTTCGTCACAGGTGACGATGTCACAGTGTCCATCTTCGAACTCGTCCTGTCCCTTGACGTTAGGAGTTTACGTTCAAAATTTCAAGTCTCTATGTCTTTCCGTTCAAAAGTTATCGGAGCTACGGACGGACAGACAGGCAGACAGACAGACAGACAGACGGACGGACATAACGATCTTATAAAGGGCTTTCAGCCCTTAATAAATATGTATGTAAAGTAGCAAAACTAGATAATTATGTGTACATCAAACTTCAAAAGTATTCGCCATTCCGGAAAGCTTTTCCCATTCGGAGAAACAATCAGCGAGAAATTTCGATGCTTCTGCTGTGCTCGAAAAATATTCTTCAAATCCGCTCACTCCGAGATGTCCGGTCCCGTTGTAGGTGTGAAAACGAGTATCGTACGCGAGACCTATTAACAAATTTTTACTTTGTTTAAACCAGAGTTAACTCGGTTGTCCCATTTTTGGATAAAGTATCCATCCGAACCGCATCCTATTCGGTGTGGAAATTTATGTATAATTTCCCCAAAAAATTCAAGTTTGGTTTGGATGTATAATTCATCCACAAAACCGGATACCCGCCTCAATTCCGTTTTAAACGGATTTGGTCAAACTCCGAAAGTCGAAGCTGACTACATTCAAATAAAGGAACGTCCATATATTACGCCACAAAACGCTTATTTTTAGACCACCCGCTCACCCCTTACCTATCCTACACATTTTAAGTTTAACACGTGTAAGATAGGCGACCCAAAATCACTCACCCTACTATTTGATCACGTAATATCTGGAAGTTCCCCATACCGAATTTTTTTACTACAAAATCTTACTCCGCTGCTAAAATCTTCTGCCCCTCATAACTTACTCAACGATACGAAAAATGCTAAGAACATGAAGAAATCATGAATACCCTCAGTACATAAAAAACATTTACCCCGATTTTGAGTTCGAGCCATGTTAACCCCGATAAACGGGATGGAAACTTGATCCCCGTACAAATAATATTTTTGTGACGGTCCACAAATATTATTCACCATTATGGGCGTCTGAATGGGTGGATTTTTCCAGAGTTGTCGAACTATTGGGAGTGGTAGGGCGTATATCATTTTGTAAATGAATGCGGCAAATATTGAGACACGTGTCGAGCGAAATTTCCGAATTCGGGCGGAAATCAGTTTCAATCTTTTGATCGAGTCGGGTTCTCCGATTGGAAGAAGGATTGATCCCGCAGTGCTGTCAATAAAGTGAATAAGTTAATGATTCAGAGGGAATTAGAGGATCTTAAATTATATTCAATGCATGGGAGGATTTCGGAAATTCCGTTACGAACTGTTATGGAGAGGGTTTGAGCTAAGCGTTACAAACAACTTTTTTTGCCGCCCATCCATGCTTTTTGAGAGATTTACGAAACGACTTACAAATGATTCCTTAATTTCATCGGATGACTCGGAAGTGGTTGAATGAATCCCGCTTTAATTTCGTCATCAACCTTAAGCCCTCGTTCGAGATAAGTTTGTCTTATCGCGAATGCCACCCCGGCGAGGAGAAGGGATAAGTGATCTATGCCATACGCGTCTTTAATCCTTTTAAACACAGACATCGGCATGGACTCCATTGTTTTGGTGAATATTTCAGGAATTTCATGTAACCTTTTGTCTAAATTTAGAAATTTTTGTTTATGAAATTTTTTGCATGGGTTGTAAATATTTGTATGTAACGTACTTGGTGGCGGGACGCGGTTCACGTGACTGGAAATATTTTTTACGAAGGAAACGAATAAATATGGAATTTTTAACAGAAGCCAAATTTGTGATGAAATGTTATCAAATTCTTGTGGCACAGATTTGTTAGCGGGAACGTCCGTTTCGAACAGATTGGAGGACATTTTTAATACCGAGATCCCATCACAAAGAACGTGGCTGCATCTAAAAATCAGCAGCGTTTGTCCACGTGCTCTCTCCGTGGTGACATTTTCCATAATTAAGATTTCCCAGAGTGGTTTCTCCTTGACCCAGATTCGTTCATGGGTCACGTGGTTGATTAGTTTATTAAAATCTTCTGGATTTGCTGAGCTATCCTTGGAAAAATCAGGTTCTAAAATTTGAAAATTTTGAACAATTCAAAAAGTTGAAAATAATTATGTTTGTATGGGTTAAATTTATACGATACATACATTCTTAGAAATGTGGTATTAAAATAATACCAAGCAGTATTCATGTATAACTCGGCAAAAGTGGTAATACCCTAATAGCTTCGTATTTTTATGATATCGGTAACAGATTTCAACGGACCTGTGTAATCTTAATACCAGGTAGTAGCAACTTTAATACCGAGAAATGAATATCTTCCTGATCAAGACAATACCAAATTTCTAACAGTGTTTCATTATCATTACATATGTATTTACAAACCTCTCAAAAACTTTATGTGATCGTTCACATCGAAATTGTCGCATTTTTCCCAAAAGTAATATCCCCACCATTCCACAAGTTTACACTGCAGTTCAGGGTAGAGAAGTTGAGACTCGTACTTTTTATGCAACACTTTTGTTTCAAAGTCACCCTTGAATCGGGACAAGTCAATTTTCTCCCGGTCAATTTCCACGATGGCGACGATTGTTATAGCATTCCGAGTGAAGGTTAGTGTCTGATCTGGTGGGTACATAAATTTATTCCAAAATTAATGAGAGACTTCAGTTTGTAACTAAAATTGTAACTAACGCATGTTAAACTTGTAAGTTTACGTATGTAAATAATTTTGACGTGAGTTGAGTTTGTAAAGATTTTCGTAAACATTTTTTGCAAAAAAATACCTAGCCGTAACCTAATTTCAACTGAAAATGCAAATATTAAACACGCGAAGTACATATTTGGTGAAATTTTGTTTACTAACAAAAAATGCTTTAAGTTTCATAAAAGTTAATTTTCCTTGAAAATGTGCGTAAAAGTTTGTAAGCTTATATAATTGTTAGAAATCTAATCCATTTACGAAGGTTATGTACCTATGTACGTTGTTACATACGTACGTTGACGTGAGCTCTCTCAATATTTATTGCAGAAATTAAATATACGTACATAATTACCTAGTAAAGTACTTCCTCCCGTCACAATTTTGACGAGCGTCCCCCTCTTAAATATTTTTGCTACAAGTGTAACAAATTTTCTTAAAAGAGAGAAACATAATAGCACCGGGGAACACAATGGGAGTATAATTAAGAAGATGATTAAGGTTGAAATTAATATCCGCAAGTTAAACATTTCGGAAAATGTGTCTATATAAAATATGTGTATCTTTGACAAGAAATGTTATACATACGTTCTAGATTATACGTTCTGCACGAATTACATATGTATGCATTATTTTGGGAGGACCAAATTCTCGAAAAAGATTTACATTTTCCTCAACCTGCCTTGCCAAACGTTAGCATGCATTGACATTGCTGACCATGTGCATCATCATGCTTGGATGCATACCTAATCCTAAGTACATATGCAAATATGTAAACAATTATGTATGTATTTTGGAAGTGTGGTTTAAGAGTATTGTTCATTAATGCACGCGGTGGTGTGCTAATAAATGGTAATCATACGTACGTACATAAGTACATTCGCATATGTATGCATGCATGTAAATGTATGATCTTAAATTTACTTTAGCTACATATTTACATAGATATATACATATGTACATGAAACCGGTCAAGAGATGTGACTATATGTAACGATAAAAATTGTCACATCGGGGGTACTCATTACGTACAGTTCGAATGTTCATATCCCAACATAATTTTGTGAAAAAAAATTGTGAAACAAATACTAGCCTTGGAGATGCGGTCATTGATTCTTTTCTAAATTTCGAACTTTTTTTTCTTTGTATTTTGCGATGCAAACTCGCAATAAATGCCCCCATTGATTTTGTTCCAAGTACACAAGTAAATATGTCCACTTTTGAGAACGAGGAAAACGCAATTTGTTTATCAAAACGCAAGATGTGCTAAGAATACACACATTTAATTTCATCCCAGAGTAGGTAAAAATTACGATATTACGATTAGTCGCTCAATACCTTTTTTAACTCATGCTCCGAACCGGAATTAAATTTATATCTTGTATCCATAGTTTAATCCACAAATGAGTATGGACTAAATTAAACATCTGTACATACAGTGGGTTCGCAAAAGTATTGGTGGTCCATTTTGCGCTCGGTACCATGTACTATATTTTTGCCAAGGGATAACCATAGATTAATTCTTCAAGCGTTTTTTGAGGCCAAACTAATGGGCTAGAAAATACTTCAAACAGAATTTGAAAATCTGACCCCGTTCGGGGGAAATTGAGAAAAGAGTGCAGAAACATGATGAAAAATTGTTGCAAAAGTATTGGTGGTGCCATATTTTTTTGAATCTGCAGGCCACGCACATTTGAATTCTTAGTCTCATCATTCGTATTAGGCTTTTTTATGTCCACTATAAAACAAATCTATGAAAAACGATCGAAATACGTGACTTGAGCATCGCTGAGAAAAATTTATCGCCAGCATGCACACAGGATGTCCTGGACCTCAAAATTATGACCCTCTGCCCTCACTTAACCTTCGGAAAACTCAGAATGTGTTTAGACGGTACCAGACAACTGGTACGGTGATCAGCAAAGCAAGAAAATACCGTCCAAGAGCCGCAGAACCACACCTAGGTAGAAAAATAACCTATATCGGTAACGACAACCGTCTTGCAAGGGTCTCAGATGTCACAAAAATAAGTAACGAATTACACATTGTAAAGATTCAATGCGGTAATAAAGAAACTAAGGTTCCCCACTTTATTTGACGGCATGCACCCCACCCCATCACTGAATCTAGTCCCAATATAGACGATATTAGATTCCGAACATGCTAGGAAGTAAAACATAATGGATTATCTCTATCAATGTCACCATTTACTTTCGAGCAGTCGATTCTATGTTGTTTAGCTGATTGTTCCAGATGGTTCCAATGTCCACTGATTCAAAAAAATGGAATTTATCTTTATCCGATAGCAGGATCTTGTCGCAATCATATTCCCTCATGGTGCATGATTTTTTGTCCATTGATATATTTTAAATACATTCTTCTACCTATGCATAAATTGAGATATCGGCTTCCTTCAATGAAAATTTGTTTCAGGTAGCCTCCCACACTCAGTCAACTATTAAATTTTGCTATCCAGTATTATCTGGATTTTTTTTGTGACCACTGAGACCCAAGCCATAGGGTTGCCGTTACCATAATGGGTCATTTTTCGACCTATGTGTGATGCGGTGGCCCTTGGACGGTATTGTCTTGCTTTGCTGATCACGGAACCAGTTGTCTTGTACCGTCTAAAGACATTCTGAGTTTTTCCAAGCTTAAGTGAGGTCAGAAGGTCATAATTTTGAGGTCCAGGACATCCTTCATGTATGCTAGTGATAATGTTTTCTCAGCGATGCTCAACTCACCTATTTCGATCGTTTTTAATAGATTTCTAGCATAGTGGACATAAAAAAGTCTAATACGAATGACTAATAAGAATTCATATATGCGTGGCCTGCAGATTAAAAAAAATATGGCACCACCAATACTTTTGCAACAATTTTTTATGATTTTTTTGCACTCTTTTCTCAATTTCCCCGGAACGGGGTCAGATATTCAAATTCTGCTTGAAGTATTTTCTAGGCAATTAGTTTGGCCTCAAAAAACGCTTGAATAATTAATCTATGGTTATCCCTTGGCAAAAACATAGTACATGGTACCGAGCGCAAACTGGACCACCAATACTTTTGAGAACCCACTGTACATACACAGTTATGCTCACGATTGCATCTTAGGGGTCGTTCGTAAATTTTGTAACGCTAAAATCGCGATTTTCTAGGCCCCCACTTCCCCCTTTAACATGTGTAGCATAGGCACGATATCATTGGAACCTTAGACCCCACGCCTCCCTCCCTCTCGCGTTACGTAATTTATGGACGGCCCCTTACCCCAAAATATGCACTTTGCCTTTTCAACATAAGACAGCAAACTGATAAGTAAGCACAGAATCGAGTCACTGCTAAATATTAATTAATTGCAGACCATGCATTAAGAATGTGATGGATTGATGTGGAGGTGAGGTTAAAGCATCTTATCGCAGATGCATAACGTGTCTTGCTTATCTTTGGTAATATGTATCGTCCCTAAGGAGATAGCCAAAATGACGAGAAAACTTACCACATTCTTCACGTGTGGTCCCTAAATTAGTGCAAATACTGAGGTTGACATGCAGCGAAATGCAATCTTCAAGTTCAAGAGCCTCTTACATAAATATTATTTATGCAGATTATACAGACAGAGTCACAGTTGCATCCTGTCCATGAGTCGAGGAGGATGCATAAGGATAAAAATTTGCTAAAATGTTTCGCAATTTAATAATCAACCCATCTTTTTTGCTGATTTTCAATTTCTTTCATTGCTACATAAGAAAGTTTAACACGTGCAAATTTGCTGCATCGATGGAAATTAAGGATGTGAATCTCACTTGATTTAGTTATCAAACTTGTTGACAAAATCTTCCCTAAAATTTGCAAAATTGTGAAAAAATTAACTCCATGAATAAGAAGTGTTTATTCTTAACTGTGTTGACTTTGGGTATAAAATGGGTGCAGATGTTGCATTATATTCACACTTTAAGAACTCATCTCCTGCCGAACTGAAGTAATTTGCAAATTTGCAAAAAAATGTGGTCCGATTTTGCGACCAACGTCTTCCACGTCCTCCTTCGCGTTGGTCTTCACCAATATCAGCCCAATAATGGTCAGTTGGGGTGGGTAATCATTTCTGAAATTTTGATGAAATGGAAATTATAAAATTTTGAAAATTTCCTATTTTTTGCAGGCAATATTACTCGACGGGAAATGTGCACTACACGCCAGTAATTGTCCCACCCGAACTGGTCAGGAAGTTGCCACCAACACTGCAACCCAGAAATTATGACACGGAAACATTTTATACCCAGTAAGTGGTCATGTTTAAATTTTCGAAAAATTATTTTTCAAAATTTCAGAATTTTGCTCACCAACGGAGTGGTGATTTTTTCAAGATTATTCTTATTTTGATTTTCAAAATTTAATATTTTTTAACTCCCGAAGTTCGTGGCAATATTTTTAAATAATTTTTATCCTAATTTATTTCATGTTAAAAATTTTGGAACTTGTTTTTACTTCTTGATTTCGGAAATTAACAAATTCCAAGATTTTGAACGTCAAACAAATTAGGATTAAAAATTTACGAAAATTTTACCAAAATGTTAGCTAATTTTTAATCCTACTCTTTTTATGTCCATATTTTTTTATTTTTTAGCCTCTAAAGTTCGAAGCAATATTTTTAGATAATTTTTAATTTAATTTATTTTAAGTTCAAAATTTTGTATTTTTTTTAGCGTCCGAGGTTCTGCCTTGCGTCAAGGATCCTCCGGTCTTCCTCTGGATTCCTTAATTCCCTTCGGTCTGGACAAGGGTGACGCCATCCTGGCCAAAGCGGACGACGCTTTTGCCCCCATCACCCTTACGAACGGGGACCCCTTCATCTTCTCTAACGCGACGCACTCCTCCCTCTTCATTAATACGAATGGAGGCATCTCTTTTACGAAAGGTGAGTAAAACAAAGTGTCCTTTGTAACTTTGTGAAATCCATGCGTTTTGTAAAATAATTTTACAAAAATAATTTTGTCAAAATTATACGAGATTTCACGAAAATTCGTAGTTTAATTATCCGGTTAATTTTCACAATTAGTAAATACAGATAATTTTTATGTCAAAGTAAATTCTGAAAAATTGATAAAGTTTTAACACTTTTACAAAAAATGGCGAAAAATATAAAAAAATTATGAGGCTATTCACGCAGTAATTTGCAATTTGTGTAAATTTTATAAAATAATTTTACAAGCTTTTATAAAATACTGATCTGATTAAATAAGTTTACAAAAATTTCTAAGCAAATTTTCCTTGGAAATATTTATAAAATCTTGTAACTTGCAAAATTAAAAAAATTACGGATTTTATAAGATTATTAATAACTGCGTGAATTGCCTCAACAATTTATTTGTAAAAAATAAACTCTTTTGAAGAAATGAGATTCGTAATAAATTAAAGATTGTCAAATTCAATTTTCCTTAATATTTCCCATTTTCTATGTTCAAAATTTCCGCTTTACAATTTGTATTTTCCGTCAACCAAAATTTACTTAAAATTGAATATTCCAACGATTCAAACATCAACTAAATATGTAAGTACTTGTTATTATCTTAATTCGCCATACATAGATAATTCTACAAAATCAAAGCCCCATACATTTTGTTAGTCAATGGGGATACTCATTACTAGTGAGCATCGTTAGCAAAAAAAAACAATTTCGCAAGTTATCCAGGAAATTTGTTTTTTTATCAAAAAAATTAGCTTCATTTCCTACCTTGCAAATCACTTATTTATCTAATCCGCTATTTAAAAAATTATGTTGCGATGCTAACTCGTACCCCAATGTAATTAATTATATTTTTTTCATTCCAGGTATCGCATCCTTCATCCCATCCTGTGGCCCGGCCCCAGCCCCGATGATCACGCCGTATTGGGCCGATGTGGATACCCGTTTAGGCGGAAATATCACTTACCGCCAGGCCACGGATTCCGCCACGCTCGGAAAGATTGATGCCTTCCTGCAAAAAGGGTTCCCCGGGCAGACGACGGGGCTCAAGTGGGCCTTCATCATGACCATGGCGGACCTGCCGTTCTGCAATGCCAAGGCGCACACGGATTCCTGCCCGGGACTTGCCCTGCGAAACACGTTCCAAACCGTGCTGGCTCGCGGGAAGGAGGAATCTTACGTGATCTTCTTGTACAACAAGATCCAGTGGACGGCAGCCCCCACGTACACCTACAACGACGGAGGAGACCCTTGCACGGGTGAGCAAATTATTTCAAAATTGCAAAACTTTGCAAAATTGTAAAAATTTGACGTTCTGAACCATGCATTTATTGAATTTAGGGAAAGAAAAGATATATATTACAAATTTTATCAAATTTAAGTCTTCAAAATTCAGGAAATTGGAAAGTTTGCCAAATTAAAAAATTGCAAAATTCAATTCTTTACAAAAAAATAACTAGAAAACTTTTTTTATTCGTTTTCTCCAGAAAAGTTAAAAATTATCAATTCAATTTTCCAACCTTCAGGAAATGACAAAATTCATTTTAAAAAATTCAAAAGTTATTTAAAACCTACCCCAGTAGTAATAAATTTAGTCGCTCGGCTTTAAAAAATTTCTTCTAAAGAAAATCAAAAACACAAACATTTTATGTGATTTTAATTCCTTAAAATCATCATTTAGCGTGAAAAATGTTACAAAAAACGATTTTAAAAAATTCAAAATTTACTGGAAATATTAATTTTCAAGGTTAAAAAATTGAATGCTACCATTAATTTTTTTAGGACTCGGCGGGAAGCATCCTCCCGTCGCCGGATTTGACGCGGCGGACGGTTTCACCCGCTTCCAACTGCCCAACTCTTGCTCCGATAAGTTATTAAACATCGCCTCCACGACCAACATTAATCTTCCTGGCGCCTGGGTTTTCCGCGTCACTTCCGGCCCAGTGACGCCCTGTGACGTCCGATGTCTGCATAACGGTGACCTCCTGGCCGATCCCTACGACTGCACTTCGTACTACCAGTGCTCCAACGGGACCCCGATCAAGCACGTCTGCCCCTTCTACAAACCCGGAGAAAGGCTCGTTTTCAACCCTTTCAAGCAGGTTTGCGTCTGGAAAGACAAATACGCCTGCGAACCAATCTGCACCAAAAATTGAGATGCGATTCCACTTTATGAAATTATTGTTCAGATAAATAATTTAGAATTTTGGCAGCTTAATTATTAAAGATATGTCGAATGAAAAATGTAATTGTATGACAAAATTATTGTTTGGTGTGTAAAATAAATTTGTATTTTGATTGGGCTCAAAACATTATTGGTTAAAATTTTGGAATAAAATTGGTTGTTTCATTGGGCATTATTGTTTCAAATCCGAGAATCTACTTTCCTTGCAAACCTTTCCATACTCCAAATTAAAAAATAGCAAAATGTTTACCAAATAGATATTTGTGTGTCATGTAAAACAGTGGATAAAAATTGGCACAAATATTTGCCAATTGCATAATCCAGTCCTTGTTTACGCATTTCTGATTTTCACTTTCGTTCATTACTTATTACATACATACATATGTATAGCATAAGTAAAATAAATTGGCATAATAAATAAATTTGCTGTTTCAGCAAAAATTAAATACATAAGCAGCAGCATTTATCCCTTTAGTTTTCCAATTGGTTTGCAAAGTTTAAAGCAAAATTTGCAAGTTTGCGAAATAATTATCTTAATGAATATAAAATGCTTACATATTAACTACACATTTTATTTTTGCTTGTATGTACGTAAAAGACGTGTTAAGGATTCTCACATTTCGTGCAATAATATTACTACCTCTTTCGCAAATTTTCCAAAAATGAGGTCCGATTTCTTAATCAGTGTGTTCCACGTCCTTCTCCGTGTCGCCCTCCACGACGACCAAGATTCAGCCAGCAATCATTTGGGGTAAGAATTTTGGTAAAATCCTACACTGTTTGAAATCTGCATGGTATTAATTCCCACAGATATTGATTACTCGATATTAAAGTTGCTATCATTTGGGATTAAAATTGAACCTTTCCCCGTAATTGGAAAATCTTGAAATTAAAATTTTCAAACTATTTGCTATATATTTATTTTTCCAGGCAATACTACTTTCACATCCCTCTCATCGACTTTTCCGGCGTAAAATGTCGAGTTCAATGTCGGTACGACGGTCAACAAATTGCCGACCCGTACGACTGCCACTCTTTCTACGTGTGCTCCAACTGGATATCGTACAAGCACATGTGTCCCTTCTATAACCACACCGATCGCCTGATCTTCCACCCTGTCGACTGGGCCTGCGTTCCACTTGAGGACTACCCATGCAATCAACCGTGCCGAGAACCGTGAAAATTGTGTACAGTAAAATGTTATATTTTTGATAATAAATTGAAATTTAATTCGGAAATTTGAATGCCTACCTACCTACTAATTAATTATTAGTTCATGACAGACTTGACTTTTTGGTTGGATAATCATAAAAAAAAACTTTGGGTCATACATACCTACATATATATATATATGTATGCATTATTTTGTTGAGTGTTTCGCACATATGATAAGGTAAACTTGTATATTTATGCATCAAATTGGGATTATTTGTGGACGACAGATCCTTGACGCTTCGTAGTAACTGTGAACTAAAAACGTATCCATCAGAATAATCTATTTCCGGACATGTCTTTATTTACTTACAGTCGTTACTACATAATTCCGTTATTTATAGGTAATAATTACATAGTATAAATTTTTTCCGCTTGAAGTCTACAGATAATATCTGTTAGATAGTTATGTATGTAGGTATGTACATAGTACATACACATACATAGTGGGGTCATAAGTTCTCGTGAATGCATTTCCGGTAATAAATCCCAAAGTATTAGAGCTATCTGTTCGAAATTTTTATGGATTAACAAGGTATTAATATTGTTTAGAAATCATAACTTCTTTGTCAAGATTTCGTCCACGGGCAATTAGACAAGACATAACTCGTGACGGCCACAGGTTGATCGTGGTATGCGCCAATTTTCGTGCAAAAAGTATTTCAGACTTTTCACCGTTGGCAAAAAATTTAATAGAAAAAAGGCCAGATATTTGTTGTACAGAAGTCTGACATCCGTTTAAGTATGCGGAAGTCAATACGAAGTCATCACCGTGGTGTGCATGGGAGCAAGTTGGCTGGAGAAATGAAATCTCTGTTTTTTACCGCAAAGGGTACAAGTTGAAGCCAAGAATTATTTTCAGAGTGTCCTAAAGCCAAACGTTAATAACCTGAACCCTGGACCCTCCGAAAATCGACATTGGACCTTTCAACAAGACCCTGTTCCTGCGCAAGGTGCAAAATTGTCCAAAACTGGCTTCAGACGAATTTTCATGACTTTTTTTCATCCGTAGAACGGTGCTCAGTATCTGCAGACCTTAATCCCCTAAATTATGACTGGTGGTGAAAATTATAGGTACAAGTATGCTCTAAATTTCACCCAAGTGTGGAAGGGCTGAGGTCGCACTTACTGAAGATCTGGCGCTTTTCCCTGGAAATCCGTGCGTGCCGCGATCGAGCAGTTTTCGCCACGACTTATGTCTTGTGTACAAGCCCATGGAGGAAATTGTGAAAACGAAGTTATGATTTCTAAACAAGATTAATACCTTGTTCATCCACAAAAATTTCTATCAGATAGCTCTAATACTTTGGGCTTTATCACCGGAAATGCATTCACGGGAACTTATGGTCGGACTATGTACATGACTTAATTAAATATGCAAAAGTGTCAATCATTGTGGTGGAGGGTGCTGGGACAAATCCTTGATGCACCGTCTGAACACTCTACTATAATGATATCCCTCTGGGCATCCGTTCCCTTGTGCTTGGCTGGGATGGCCGAAACCTGGATTCCACGGGTAGTACCCGGCCCCACCTCCTACGGAACTCTGGCCCCTACTCACATACACATTGCAATAGTAGCAGCTTAACCATCCACTCGGTGCAGGAATTTGCTGTGAAACAAGTTCAAAATTCGGGAACTAGTTCCTTAACAAGTTATGTAAATCACTAAATTGCAATTTTATACTTACACGACCTCCCCGTGTCACAGAGAGCGTATTAAAGTCACAAACCACCAAATTCGCCAGAGCTATGAGAATAATTGCATAATTAGTGACAAACATCGCAAAATGTGCGAGGTTAATAGTCAACCTAAAACAAAGCCTAAATATGGGTTTTGTAGTTTACTGATTTGGCAATTCTGTACATATGTGATGTGTTTTTTATTTAAGAATGATCAGTGTTTAAATATGCTTGCAAGACAAAGGTTTCCCAGCGACTGGGAAAGGTTGCCAATTTGATGAGAGTCAAATTATCCATAAGGAATTTAACAGGTACTTATGTATCAAATGTTTACTAGCCGTTTATCCACTGCGATTTACGTAAGATTTATTTATCAGTTGTTTTCATCGAAGAGGTTACTACATAATCTTTTGATTTTTTTAACAAACCAGACTAATTTACGGTGAATATACCTCAAACACGACGTATGTATGAGCATTGAGAGGGGTAGCTTTGATGAAACCAGACAAATGGAGATCTCCCAGCGTATGCTCACATGGCTTGAACATGTTCATTTTGACCATGATCAGATTTTAAGTCGGGATGCCAGTGGGATGAGTTCATCTCATCTGAACTCATGAGAAGATGAGTTTGGAATGATATAAGATGGCCTATAAATGAGTTGAGAACTCACATTCATCTCATCTTATGTATCAGGTATTGAGGTGAGTTGAGATGAGGCCGATCTCGCTTCATCTCATCTCGCTGGAAACTCTAATTTTGAGTCACTCGATTGCAGATCTAATTAGTAGGACCTTTGCTAAGGGAACTAACTACCAGCGGGCAGGATTCGCAGTCGAAAAATTCTACACTTTCAAAATTTATTCCATACTTTCTACTGCAAACGACGCATGATGCATCATGCGTCATTTGCAGTTTTCATGTTAATTAAATTTCACTCTAATTTGATCAAAATCGAGGCGCATACGTTGGGAGACGTCCATCGTGACAGTCGGATGAGTGTAAGGAAATGCGGGTGAAGGTAGGAAAACTAGTTTGACAAATGACCAAATCGATCTTATTAGATTATGATGATGATGTCTGCAACATGTTTTTAGTCATTTGCACCATGTCCTATTAAATGTGTGTGCGAATTAAATATATTTACTGAAACAATGTTTAAGTATGTAGTTAGGTTATTGTGCAGACTACATGCGTATGTATGTACATTCTCATCAAACTGGTTTAAATTAAATCATTACTCACCGGAGTACTTATGTACATGCAGTGGTAATAACAACATACAACTTATACTACAATGAATAAAAAGATTTCAAGTATGTACTAAAAAAAGTGGTAATAACGGGTGTTACTGTTTAATAATGTTGTGGTAATGGAAATTTTACCACTCAGAATAAGATTACTTACTACCAGTCGGATGGAAGTTGTTACATGTTGTACTAAAGATAAGTATAAATATGTGACTTCATCACATTTTTAAGAGTGCAGCGTTGGGGTTATAATTCATCGCATAATTCTTACTCAATTTCACCTTATTGCACTTTTCCTCGTCAGCTAACTGGTGAATAAGCACAGAATCCAGTCACTCAATAAATAAGAAAGAGGATCAATTCCATTTAAGCCAGTAGTGCAACATATTAATTAATTATGGACCATGCATGAAGAATATGACAGATTTGCGTCGGATTGAGGTCAAGAAATCTCATGGTTGGCACTTCGTATTTACTTATCTGTTGCATATATTTATGTATCACGCATAATCAAAATTATAAAAAAATTGACCACATCCTTTACGACTGGTCCCTTAATTAATGGACATGCTTACATGAAATGAAAAATACAATCTCTTCAAGTTCAAGAACCTTTTACATATTATGTAAATATTATTTATGCAGATTAGGCTCACAGAGTCCAACCATATGTTGAAAGAAAGCCATGCATTGAACATATCCGTTAATTAAATAAATGGAATCAATTGGTATAAAACTTAGTAAAAATGTTTTCCAATTTAATAACCAATCATTCTTTTTTGCTGATTTTCAATTTCTTTAGGAAAGTTCAACACGTGCAAATTTGCTGGATCAATGGTATTTAAGGATGTTAATCTCACTTATCAAACTTGTTGACAAAATTTTCCTTAAAATTTGCAAAATTGTCAAAAAATAGGGTCTATGAATAAGAAGTGTTTATTCTTAATTAGGTTGACTCTGGGTATAAAATGAGTGCAGATGTTGCATTATATTCACACTTTTCAATCGAACGCTTCTCCAGCCAAACGGAAGTAATTTGCAAACTTGCTGAAAAATGTGGTCCGACTTTGCGACCAACGTCTTCCACGTCCTCCTTCGCGTTGGTCTTCACCAATATCAGCCAAATGGCCAGTTGGGGTAAGTAATCATTTAGGAAATTTTTATAAAATGGAAACTATGGAATTTTGAAAATATATTTTTTGTAGACAATATTCCTCCAACCCGACTGGACAAATCCACTACACACCTGTAATTGTTCCACGCGACGTGGTGGCGAAGTTACCCTCACTATCACCCGAAGACTATGGTGAGGAACGACGTCATACTCAGTAAGTTAAATTTAAGAAATTCTGAGTTTTCATGTCCAAAATTTTCTAGTTTTTTAACTTCGTGGCAAAATTTTTTGATAATTTTAAATCGTTTTTTATGTCGAAGTTTTTTTGTTTTCCCAACTTGGCCAAAATTGAAATAATTATTTGCTCTAATTTGTTTTATATTCAAAATTGTTAATTTTGACCCGAAAAATTTTCCAATAGTTTTTAATCCTAATTGATTTCATGCTCAAAATTTATGGATTTTTCAGCATTACAAGTCCGTGGCAAAATTTTTGGACGCCCTTTTAACCCAAATATTTTCATGATCGAAAGTTACTGAACCCCCCAAAGCTAAATTTTGGATAATTCTTAATCCTAATTTTGTCAGGCTCTGAGTTTTTTGATAACTTTGAGTTTTCGGCTTTGAGTGAGGCTTTGAGTTTTTTGTTTTTTGAGTGGCAATTTTTTTTTTTAGAAAATTTATAACCTTAATTTATTTAAGGTTAAAAATTTTATAACTATTTTTAGCTTCGGAGGCTAAAAATTCCAAAGATTTTTAAATAAAGTAATAAATCAAATAAGGGAGGATTCATAATTAACTAAAACTTTGGCAAAATTTTAGTTACTTTTTTGGCCTACTTTGTTCAGGCTCAACATTTTTTTATTTTCAGCCTCCAAAGTTCGTGGCAATATTTTTCGATAATTTGAAATTTGAATTTTTTCATGTTCAAAATTTTGCATATTTTAGCGTCCTCCATGAAGGATCTTCCGGTCTTCCACTTGGTTCCTTGATTCCCTTCGGCCTGGGCAAAGGGGACGCCATCCTGGCCAAAGTCGACGACGCCTTTGCCCCCATCGCCCTCACGAAGGGGGACCCCTTCACCTTCTCCAACGTGACGTACTCCTCCCTCTTCCTGAACACGAATGGAGGCATCTCTTTTAAGAAAGGTGAGAAATTAACAAAGTTTTGATTTATTTAATGTTAAAAATCCCTTCCTATTTGATAGGAAGGGATTTGAAATCAATTAAATATTCCAGTGTAATTGAAGTCTTAAAGAAGACAATTAAATTTGGAAATTTTGAACAGAAGATTGGCGTACATATTTAGCTTGGAAAGTTGGAAATGAACTACCTAATAATGGAAAAATTCATTTAAAAAATATCGTTTCACGATCACAGAATTTTGTAAAATGTTATTTTTTTAAAAAAAGGCCGTTTATAAATTACGTAAGGCGCCAAGGGGCAGGGGGGTCTCAGAAGGCTTCAGTGATATCGTGCTAATGTAACACGTGCAAAAGGGGGAGAGGGGTTTAGAAAATCGAGATGCACAATTTGTGAACGTCCCCTTTTCGTAAAAATTAGTATCTTAAAAAATTCTGTGATCGTGAAATGATATTTTTGCGAATTGTAATCCGCGGATTACAATAACGCGTTATTAGTTTATTTCCAACTTAAATATATACGCCAATCTTATACTCAAAATTTCCTAATTTAATTGTATTTTTATTTTCCCATTTTATGCTTTTAACGATACGATTTTTTTGACAGCGAATAATTGACTTCCCACTTGAATAATTATTTACCGCAGGTATCGCAACCTACATCCCGTCTTGTAGTCCGGCCCCTGTCCCGATGATTACGCCGTTTTGGGCCGACCCTGACACGAGTTTAGGCGGGAATATTACTTATCGCGAAGCCGCCGATTCCGCCACGCTTGGAAAGGTTGACGCCTTCCTGCAAAAAGGGTTCCCCGGACAGACGACAGGACTCAAGTGGGCCTTCATCATGACCATGGCAGACCTACCCTTTTGCCATGCCGGGGCGCCCACGGATTCCTGCCCAGGACTTGCCTTGAGAAACACGTTCCAAACCGTGTTGGCCAGAGGGAAGACGGAATCGTATGTGATCTTCTTGTATAAAAAGATCCAGTGGACGGCAGCCCCCACGTACGCGTACGGTGACGGAGGAGATGCTTGCACAGGTGAGGAAGTTATTTAGGGCGAAAAAGATATGAAATCGTAAAACATCATAATTTTAAAATCTAGAATGCAAAGCTTTTACTAAATTTATGAAAATAATAAGTTTATAAAATTACAAGCTCAGTTTTTTGCAACATTACAAAAACTACAAAATTAAGTATTTTGAAAAATTATAAAGAATACAGGATTTTGTAACAAAAGTTCTAAAAATGTATAAAATTTTAAATTCAAACAACTACGAAGTTTACAAAAATTATAAAATTACAAAATTTATAAAATTCCAAAATTTACATAATTTATTTTTTTACATACTTAAAAAATTATAAATTTAACTTTCAAAATCTGTTCCAAGAATTTGCAAAATTGAGAAATTTTAATTCATAAGATTTACTCAATCTATAACAATTGTAAAATTATAAAAATTTGCTTTAAAATTTTTAAAGTTTACAAAATTACGAACACATAGTATTTATTAAATTAGACAGGTCGGTCTATTTTAAACAATTTGCACCCCTTTAAATATATAAATTCAAAAAAATTACTAGCATTATTAATTGATTTCTGAAGATCTAGCAATCTAGTACGTAACGTTGCCCAAATTCGAAAACCTTAGCACAATAGCATAAAAACATCGAGAAATATTATTTTTTTTATAAAAAATGGATCACTAAATCTCTTTAATTTTTAAGGACTCGGCGGCAAACATCCTCCCGTTGCCGGATTCGATGCCGCGGATGGCAAAACGCGCTTCCAACTGCCCACCTCCTGTTCCAATGACGCCTTAAAAATCGCCTCCACGACCAACATTAATCTTCCTGGCGCCTGGGTTTTCCGCGTCACTTCCGGCGCAGTGACACCTTGTGACGTCCAATGTCTGCACAACGGTGACCTCCTGGCTGACCCGTACGACTGCATGTCGTACTACCAGTGCTCCAACGGGACCCCGATCAAGCACGTCTGCCCCTTCTACAAACCCGGAGAAAGGCTCGTTTTCAACCCTTTCAAGCAGGTTTGCGTCTGGAAAGGCGAGTACGCCTGCGAACCAATCTGCACCAAAAATTGAGATGCGATTCCACTTTATGAAATTATTATTCAGATAAATAATTTAGAAATTTGGCAGCTTAATTATTAAATGTGTCCAAATTTGGAAAACAATAATTTAAAAAATTTAGATTTATGATAAAATTATTATCTGTTTGTTTCTCGGATTAACTAAATTTTTAAACAATTGGGTTAAAAAACTTAAATTATCTTGAAACTTACCTTGAAAATAAACTTGATTATTTTATTTTGCAATAACTTCCCAGAAAAATTTTTCCATGACCAGGGAATCAACTTTTCTTCCAACCTTTTGTGTTCTACACAACAAATTTAAACGATTTACGTATCTAGGTAGTTATGTGAAACACTCGATAAAAATTGGCACACATCGTTGTCAATTGCATAATCCCGTCCTTATTTACATATTGCTGATTTCACTTTAGTTCAGTACCTATTACATGCAGAAGTAAAGTTATAAATTTGCTGTTTCAGGAGAAACAAATTAATAATCAACATTTATTACTTGAACCATTTATCAATTTTTTTGCAAAGTTTAAAGCAAAATTTGCACATTCGCGAAATAATTATCTCCATGAATATAAAATGCTTACATATTAACTACACATTTTATGTTTTGGTGTATGTATGGGTGTGAATGTTTCATTGGATTCGCACATTCGTGCAATAACATCCTCGCATGCTTCTCATCCCTTTTTTGGAAATTTGTGAAAAATGAGATCCGATTTCTTAGTCAATGTGTTCCACGTCCTTCTCCGTCTCGCCCTCTACGACGACCAAAATTCCACTGGAATCATTTGGGGTAAGAAGGTTTATACATAAAATTTTAAATGTTACACAGTCAGAAATCTGGTATTAAATTCCCGCCCGTATTGATTTCTCGTATTAAAATTGATATCGCTGGGTATTAAAATTTTACCCGTCCCTAAATAGTTTCAAGCGATATAGTAAAACTTATGTACATATCGAGCTACTACATACATAAATATGTCGTATTACTGATCAATACCATCTTGGTTTAGTCATGTATGTATGAATACAAATACCTCTTGGTATTATTTTAACTCTGGATTTCTAAGTGAAATTAAAAAATTTTGCAATTAAAATTTGCAAACTATATATTTATTTTTTGCAGACAATATTACTTTCACATCCCTCTCATCGACTTTCCCGGCGTAAAATGTCGAGTTCAATGTCGGTACGACGGTCAACAAATAGCCGACCCGTACGACTGCCACTCTTTTTACGTGTGCTCCAACTGGATATCGTACAAGCACATGTGTCCCCTCTTTAACCACACCGACCGGCTTATTTTCCACCCTCTCGACTGGGCCTGCGTCTCACTCGAGGACTAGCCATGCAATCAACCTTGCCGGGAGCCATGAAAATTTCGTAAATTAATAAGTTAAATTTCCGAAAATAAAACAAAATGAAATTCTGACATAATTGATTCGATAGGCTAAAAAACCTTATGTAATTATGTACTTACAAAGCATAAATTTGAGAATTTAAAAGTGGAAACTAAAACCACTTGGGATGAAAGTTCGGAATTTTTTGTTCCAGTATTGAATCTTAGGGAATATCAACATGAAATAAAATAATTAGGTACATGAATATTTTTGTATTTACGCGTAAATAGAAAAATATGCATGTACTGGCTTCGAATTTATACACGCGTGTATAGATTCCAAGCCAGTTTTTGAAAGTACATAATAAATATGTATGAATTGAATAGAGTATAAAATGTATCGGATTCTGGTCATGTACATATTTTATTGCTATGAACATGAAAACTCTAGCTTAAACTTGTCACAGCTTAAAATTTTGTTACAAATTTTGGAACAAAATTTGTAGGCTTATCATAAATTTAGGTTGAATAGCATCAAGTCCTGCAAAATTTAGTTTCTTAGTGTTTACTTTATTATAAATCTACACATATTTACGATATATACATTTTAAATACTCTCGCTTTAAATTTACTTCACAAATTGTACATTCATCCGAGTCATATGATCCGACTAAATTATGTAAAATTGCAAAATTATTAATCATCCAGTACCAGGTGGGATTCCCCCCCAAATCTGGACACATCGTCCTAACTTTTGACTATAGTCTTGTCCCACTGGACATCTGTTCTGAAGAGTGTTCCCCTGTGATTGACTCGGATGACCGAAACCTGGATTCCAAGGGTAGTACCCGCCCCATCCTCCCCCGGTACTCTGGCCCCCACTCGTGTACACATTACAGTAGTAGCAGTTCAACCAGCCACCCCCAGTTGGGATTTGCTGTAAGATAATTCCAGAATTCAGCAACTCGTTCATTAAAAATTTAAAGTACTTGTACATACATTAAGAATTTATAAATGAAAATTTTATACTTACGCGGCCCTCCCGTGTCACAGATAGCCGGTTAACACCACACATCACCAAATTCGCCGATGCGATAAGTATAATTGCATAATTAGTGACAAACATTGTGAAATTTGGGAATTAAGTACCTCAAAAAGAGCCTATGGATTTTGTACATAGGTTTATAAATTTACAGATTCGTCAAGCAAAAATTGAAAAAAATTGTCAATTCTAAATTACTCGGTTCACTAAAATGTGAATTAAATATGTGACGTATATTTAGGGATGATCACTATATATGGGTCATATTGCGATTGAATTGTTTGCTTGACAAGGGTTACCCAGCGACTGGGAAAGGTTGGCAATTTGATTAAAAGTAAAATTCTCCACGCCGAAATTATGTAAGTACATACATAAGATGCATTTATATGTAAGTTGTTTGCGTCTACGGGGTTACTATCCTTCCCATTTTATCAAAAAACCAGACGGATTTACGGTTAATATACCTCAAACAAAATGTATGTACTGTACATATGATAATTCAGAGGGGTCACTTTGGCGAAAACTTGCAATTCAGGTCTCCCAGCGTATGCTCACAGATTTTGACCATATACATATTTATATAATCAGATTTTGAGGATAGGGTCACTACTGTCGCTAAATCAAAAATCTATGTAATATGAAGTTTGAAAAAGACAAAATCTCCCAACGGTCACGATATTTGCATCCAAAGAGGAGAAAGCGGGACCTAAGCTCGAAAAATTGCACACATTCAACATTTGTCCCTCATTACGTAGTTTTCAGATGAAAATATCTCTGCTCAACCTACGAATTGGCAGATAGTATCATTTGCAATTTTCATGTGAAGCAATTTGAATTCACCCTAATTTGGTCAAAATCGAAAAGTACGCGTTGGGAGACCTCCATCCTGAGAGCTGGACGAGTTTAAGGAAATGCGGGTGAAGGTAGAAAAACTGGTTTGACAAAGTACCCAATCGGTCGTATTAGATTATGCATAATGATGTCTTTTGCAGTACATAATTTGCACCTTCTTGACAAATCCCTCAGAATGGGTGTGTACATACTTAAATCGAATAAAATGTGTTCGCTGAAAAAGTAAGCGGTTGGGGCAGATAGTTGTGTGTATACATATGTATGTGCAAACTATGTACATGGGTACGCACACTCTTAGAAAACTGGTATTAAATCATTACTGACCGGGTAATATACGTATAACTCTACCATCACTGGTAATAACGGGAATTATATTAACTATGGGATACAATTATCGAATGATTTTTGCCCACTACATTGTGGAAATTAATTGGCCCTCATTGATATGTATTTGTCCCTACGTTATTCATTTTTTTACATATATGTACCTTCATGTATGCAAATTTGAGTATACAGCTACGTTTTATTCTTGGAGCTTGACCACAGAATTTTAGAAACCGTATACATGAATGATTGTAATAAAATTTGTTGAAGAAACACTGCAAGGTTGGGAAAAATAGATTTACTTTTTCACAGAACAATTTTCATTTCCTGGTTTTCGAAATACGGCAAATAGCACGTCGCGATTAAACTGAAATTCTTGATCTCCATTCAGCACGACATCTCCCTTGGCAAGGATCAGCTTGGCGTAGTCCGCCTTCAACTCGGGATACAGAGAAGAGGGAATCTGGCTCAAAAATGGATTCAGCGACATGACCACGTCTGCAAAAATATATAAATGAAAAGTTAGTAGTTCGTCTAGATAGGCGTGTTTGGGGTAAATTAAGCCCGTCTGGGGCAAAATAAAATCCAACCCCATTAACCAATTTTAATAGTTTGGTTAAGCGCTTGGGGGCCAGTGTGAAATCCCAACGACAAATTCATACGATAACACATACTCTCTGTGGGGAAGAAAGTATGAGTGAGATTTGACGGGTGCAATCATGTGCCTGGCTTCGTAGTTCAAAGGCAGAATATCTGGGGCTATACCGGAAGATGCTCCTTTCGAGTGGGGCCGGGGTCACCTTATTTTTGCACAATACCGTTATTTCTCATTCCTACATCTCAATCCATGTAGGTTTTGCGGAAATTGAGAATTCTGTGAAACTACGCCCCTGTCAAATTTTCTCAAATTATGGTGACGGGGGAATTTAAGACTGGCAGTGACAGTTTCTCAGAATGCTCAATTAAATTGAAGGAGAGTATATTTATCCAATTTATATTTACATGCTAGAGCCGTGCATTTACGTCACCCGAAACATTAAAATTCTTGTTACAAGGCCGATATTAGCAAATTAGCGATAAATCAGTAGCAACATCGAAATTTTACACGACACTTTATGCTTTGTTTATCGGGCCATTTACCAAATTTCTGACATCTTTAACAAAGACTCTTTATGCCAATTTCTTACCCGTGAAGGCCTCCAAGGTTAGGTTCGCGTTACTCTTGTGCACGAAACTTTCCACTTTCTCGTACCCAATTTCTTTACAGGATTCTTCCAACTCTTTCTGCGCATCTTGAGAGTACTCAATCCATTCCGGGAGATGATCCCGTATTTCCTAAAGTGTGAATTTATGTACAAAGGTTTAGGGTTGCCGCGGGTTGCGAAAATGCTACCCGTTACCCGACCCGCTACCCGCAGCACCACTACCCGTACCCGCACGGGTACCCGTGCGGGTACCCGTTACCCGCTACCCGTTATGAGAATTAAGTTAAAAACTAACCGAGCATCAGAATAAGTTTGATTTCATAGATTATTTGCCCATTTGGGTTGATAAGTAGTTTTAGATAATGTTATGCCTGTAACTAATGCTATAATTTGCTAGATGTCATTAGATATTTCGGAAACCAAACTTTTCGGCTTACAATGTAACCTTTTTCAAGCTACACCGGAATTTCCTAGCAATTTATATAAAAAAATAAATTCAAAAATTTGGAAGTACATGACACTTAACTTTCCGCTGAATTTTCCGATTGTTGAAAATGTTATTAGGGGGCAGAATTCAACGTTCACCATGGTTTTCGTCCATTGCAGGAAATAGATGGAGAAAGTTTACTTGAGAATTGAACTTTGCCGCCAATATTTTTCTTCAAACTGGCCAATCAACGGAAAGATAAGGATCATGTGATCCGTAATTTTTGGCTTGATATTTTGATATTATGTACTAGCTACCTACATATACACAATCTGGTGTATACAGCTTGTCTCAAGGTTCTATCTGAATTGTTAGTTTTATTTTTTGAAATTTTGGTTTCAATGAAGTATTCATTAAAAATTCGTCAACAAATTAAATTTTTGTCTGCAAGCGGCTTGAGGGTTTTCACGGCGCAAATTAATGTCAGTTTTACATTAATACACACAAATACAAGTCAAATTAGTCCAGTTATTTTATAGCAGGCAAGTTATTCTGGAGAAACAATAATTTATCCGCATTTTCGGGACATTAAAAGTATTTGTGGCTGCCGTAGGCTGCTGTGGCTTCCGAAAAGACACGCTAGCTATAAACGCTTATTATTGGCAAATGACAAATTTTGAAGTGAATAAATAATACAATCATACTTGTGCAAATGGAGGGACTGATGAGCTTCTAACTTTGTTTGTGAGTTAATTTAGGCCAAAATTGAATAAAAACTGAACTACCCGTTACCCGTGCGGGTAGTTCTCGCTACCCGCAGATAACGGGTACCCGCAAGAATCGTGCGGGTATGCGGGTAACGGGTACCCGACCCGCTACCCGCGGCAACCCTACAAAGGTTTTTAACCCATGAAAAAGAAACGTTTTTTTATACCTTCATATATCCCGTCCACTTTGGCATTTTGCCAATTTCCTGGTGCAGTAAGAGTGTAGCTTCAATTACGTACACGAGGCAAGTGTACCCTCCCGGTTTAAGCATGGAGTAAAACTTGGCCAGAATTTGTCCGCGGGACGGGTTAAAAAACTAATAAATTTAATTTCTCATTGAGCGTGCTCACGACAAGGTCTTATTTCGCATTACAACTCATTTAGGAAACTTGTGAAGGTAAAAAAAATTGTGTCGTGTCATGAGGAGATCCTAAAAATCTGACTTAAGAAATCATTGCCACTTTACTACGGTCATATTTACAGGGTGGTTAAAATGTCACCCCACAATGGAAAATTTTTCAATGGGAAAAATCCACAAATTTCCATTAGTTACCGAAATTTTGTCTCTAAAATGCAACATTTTAAGAATTTTGTCATCAGTTTTGATAATAATTTATAAAAATCTCAATCCCAAATCTTGTAACTAATGGAGATTTTGGGACTTTTCCCATTGAAAAATTTTCCATTGTGGCGTGACATTTTAACCACCCTGTACATAAATACCTCTTGCTATTATTTTAATACTGAATTTCTTAGAGGGCAAATCTTATTTGGGAAGCGGGAAGCCTCATTTTTCCATTTTCCCTGCATAAATAAAATAAAAATCCTCCCTCACTTACTTGTATTCCTTGCACCAGTGGAGACAGTAGAACGAGAAGATCTTGTCGAACTGGACTCCCACGTGGGGAAAGCCGCCATCCTCTAAAAGGTTCCCCACCGCGTACGACAAGTTGGTCACTTTTGTTCCCCTCGTTCGCCGCGGTGATCATAGAGGAGGATTTGTCCTAGGGTTGCCGCGGGTAGCAAAAATGCTGCCCGTTACCCGACCCGTTACCCGCAGTCCAACTACCCGTACCCGCACGGGTACCCGTGCGGGTACCCGTTACCCGCTACCCGTTATGAGAATTAAGCTAAAACCCAACCAAGCTACGGAATAAATTTGGTTTAATCAATTATTTGCTCATTTGGGTTGATTAGTAGTTTGAGATAACGTGAAGCAAGTAACGCATACCGTAATTTGCTAGGTAGATGTCATTATTTATTTCCATTTAATACATAACATTTTTCTTACAATGGAACCTTTTTGAAGCTACACCGGGTTTCTTAGCGAGCTGTATCAAAAAATCAAGCCAGCAATTAGGAATTACATACACTTATCTTTCCAGTGAATGGCCCCTTTGAAGAAAACTATGTGGGGGAGGGCAGGTCAAAGTCCAGCATGGTTTACGTCCAGTGAAGGAAAAAAAAGAACATTTACTTAAAAATTGAACTTTGCAGCGACATTTTGCTTCAAAGTGACTAGTCAGCGAAAGATAAGAATCACGTGATTTCTAATTTTGACTTATCTTTTTGATAGAACTCGCTTAACAATCCTGGTGTAGCTTGAGAAAAGATTCCATTGGTAGTTTGATTTTTTGAAATTTTGATTTAAATTCAGTTTTCATTTTAAAAAATTGCCTCCAATTTTGCTTTCAATATTATCGACGATTTTCACCCGAAAAAATTAAGATATCGTCAGTGTTACATAAATACGCAGAAATACAAGCCAAATTAGTACCGATATTTAAGAAAAGATGAATTCTGCTTGAGAAACAATAATTTCTCTGAATTATCTGAACGCAAAAAGTGTTTGAGGCTGCCGTAGGCTTCCGAAAAGACACGCTCGTTACAAACTCTAATTGCTGGCAAATGGCAAATTTTGAAATGCATAAACAATAAACTGACTCTGTTGTTGGTAAATAGACTAACTTGATGCTACCTTTCTTTGTGAACTGATTTATGTCCAAAATTAAATAAAAACTGAACTACCCGTTACCCGTGCGGGTAGTTCTCACTACCCGCAGATAACGGGTACCCGCAAGAATCGTGCGGGTATGCGGGTAACGGGTACCCGACCCGTTACCCGCGGCAACCCTAATTTGTCCACGCCAAAAAGCTTGGAATTTGTAGCCATCGTTTTCGGGAGGAGGAACGGAACCGTGGTGCGACCAGTGCCACACCCGTAATCCATAACGACCTCTCCCTCTCGCCAGGGAATCGCGTCCAATCGGTCGGTCAGGGTATTCAGGCATTCAGGAAGGTTCACGATAGCTTTAACGAAAGTGTCAGGATCCCACATTCTCAAGGTGTAAAGTAGTAACCTTTAAGGGAAAATTGAGACAATTAGTAGCAAGAATTAACTGGGTACATAAGTATTTAAATCTAACGAAGTTTAATAAATTGAATTAACAAATAATTGGCAGATAAGTGATTGGAGAATAAGCCTTTAGGGAAAAATTGAGACAATTTAGGCATTTATCCACTTAAACCCTGATGATTTTAGTAAATTATAGCTTATTGTTTTGTAATTATGTGAATTTTGTGAGTGTTACAATGTTATACAGCAATCAATAGATTAAATAAATATTTACGAAATTTACATATACTAAAGTTTACAAATTTTAATAAATTCTCTCTCTCTCTCTGTCCCTAAACTGGCGAAAAACTTGACGCAAATTCGTTCACTTTTATACGCGTCGGTGGCCAACCGTTTAATAATTTTAAATGGTGTAATAACGCCTGAAAATTTATGAAACCACAAACCACCCGCAAGTACAGTAAGTATTACGAACCCTGACAATATTATATTACCTACGTGGTTTTACCAGGTGCAGGTAGTTAATGATTTAGTCCTACATAAATACGTGACGACAATACTAGTATTTATACTACGTAGAAAAACAACTTTCTACCTGTAATAAATACTGCAAAGCTTGTGTTGCCATTTGCACAAAATAATCATGATTTATTTCCCTATACAGTGTGCTCAAACCACAGAGTTTGATGTTTAGGCAGAGTCAGTTACTCTGAGACAAATTGGACGGATTTTAACGAAGAAATATGGGTAATTATCAGAGCTGGGTGATTATTGGTTTTTGAGGGTGGATTAAGGATTAACCACAAAACGATGCGATTGGATGCAATGTGGATTGTGATTAAATTATTTTCGTGAGATTAATTCATGTCAGGATTAATCCGGATTAATCCATAAATTCTGAAAATTTCGGGATTATGATTATGGATTGATAATCCGGATTAATTTGGTGATTAATGATTTTTACACTATATCTAGCGCAAAAAATTTCAACTACGTGGTTTCACATAAAAATGACGCCAGTTTCAATTGATATATGTATGCAGCGAGAACATGTTGATTCTTCAAATGGTAGCTGACAGAACAACATTGTGAGAACTTGAGACTTCAAGCTACACTGTCAACTGTGGGATGAATGGAACTATGGGAAGTGAACTGAGTAATCCAGATTGAGAATTAATCATGAATACGTAATCATGATTAGTAATCATGATTTGGATTAATCTGGATTAATAATCATGATTAGTAATCATGATTGGGATTAATCAGGATTTGTAATCCGTAATCACGATTATGGATTAATGAAATCAAATGGGATTATTCCCGGATTAATTCTAATTCCAGAAAAATCGGGATTATGGATTGGGATTAATCTACAAAAAACTCAGGTTGCCGGATTAGGGATTAATAATCCATAATCCGGGATTAAAATCCATAATCCTTAATCAGGATTATTCCAGCTCTGGTAATTATGGATAATCGATAAGGCATTGAAAAGTTTCCGTGGTGGTGGTGGCAACCTTAGTGAAAATTTCGAAGCTTAAAATTAATAAAAATTACTTTCTTCTTTTTTTAATTCAAGAAAATTCAAAAATAAAAAGCAAAAAATGGGAACAAACCACCACGAGGCTTGAACGCTCCTGACTGCTTGATTCTTCTTTTGAAAAGGGGGGTTGACACAGGTAAATTCTGTGCCAATGAATCCCAAACTGTGTCCAGCTTTACTCTAACCAACGCTGTACAAGTAAATCCCTCTTCCGAAATATCAAACTCTGTGATCAACACGTTTATAGCACTTTTTCCAACTAAAATGTCGAGGTTAGGTTAAGTTCCTCGCACATTTTTGGGGCTGAATTGTTGACCACCTTGAATTTCTTGATGGCCGTGACTGTATGGACGCTGGTCCGGTTCGTAGATTTAATTACAGGTACATATTCAGCAGTGGCTGGAGACAGATATGATAGGTATGGACAAGGAGACATTTGTGGAGACGAGGGTATAATGTTGAGTATGGTTATGACAGATTAATATACATATGTACAGTCTTAGCAAAGTGGTGAAGTCATATATGTATACACTCCATGTGGTATTGATCACAGAATATAGATTCTACCAGAAGAATCGATCTTATGTATTCGAGTGACGCTTATGGAAGAACGGGGAGAGCCAACCAAATAACTCGGTGTACATTTGGCCCACCTGGGGGATGGCCCTCCGCATCATTATCATCTCCTGGCATCAAAAAATGATGATGAAAGCACATAGGTGGCGGTGGCACCCCCATTTGTGCACCAGAACACACCCTCGTAGAGCATCAAATTTGTGGAGACGCAGCTCAGAATGGTGTGTTCTGGTGCACAAATGGGGGTGCCAGCGCCACCTATGTGCTTTCATCATCATTTATTGATGCCAGGAGATGTGGCGATGATGATGATGCGGAGGTGCCATCCCCGAGGTGGGCCAAATGTACACCGAGTTATTTGGTTGGCTCTCCCGTTCCTCCATAAGCGTCACTCAAATACATAAGATCGATCCTTCTGGTAGAATCTATATTCTGTGGGTATTGATTTGGTAATAATTTCTCCCCGGGGTTGGTACACGGTAAATAAAGTTGAATAAAATTGTCTCCAAAGCAACTGATGAGCGAAATTTACCCTGACAAAGGTAAAATTCACTCAAGGTTGACCAAAAATCTTTCAACCTTGAGTAAATTTTACCTTTGTCAGGGTAAATTTTACTCAATAGTTGCTTTGGTGGCAATTTTACTCAAAATTGAGTAAATTTTAAGCAAATTTATTTAGAGTGTAATAGTTTGATTCCAAGTGGTGAGTTTTCATCACCACAACGGTGCATATTTTTCACTATGCGGTGTTGCCCGTTTTCACCGCTCCGGTTAAGTCATATATACACTCTGTTTGGTGATGATTCAATACCGTTTTGCTAAGAGTGTATGAATGCTCACAGCGATGCACATTTAAAGGTATGCTCCTGCTGGAATTTCTTGTGAAAAATATTTATGACTTTCATATACATCAAATTAACGGCCTTGCGACGACGACAGCGGTCTCATTCCGATTTCGTTGTATCGCAATAAGCATATATGTAGGCTTAAATAACGTTAAAAGTAGCTCACCCTGTCATAATAATTTAGACAGAAGTTTGCACCGAAGGTGCGGAATAAGCAGACAAAATATATCATGACTCGTATATATTATTGCGCCCATGGTGCAACATACCCGGCAGGCCTTTGCACCATTAGTGCAGCATTAGCGACCATCCGTGTTACAAAATTTCGAAAACTTTGTCAAAATTATATGATCATTTCTCGCGGATATTCTGCACTATTGGTGCGTTTTCCATCCCATCCCCCAATTATTTCGCATCATTTTGTGTTACCGATTGTTAGATATCAACTGTGCTATTAATTTATTAAAAAACTCGATTCGATTTGTTCAATACCAATGGTGCGCCTAACATATTCACTAATGGTCAAGGGGATTTTTAAATAGCATCAATTCATGCAAAAAACTCGTTAACAGACAGACGGACGGACAGACAGACAGACGGACGGACAAGAGGAATTCAATAGCTCCGGTGCTACGCAGGGTGAGCTAATAAATAATTAAATACGTTCTTCAAGATTTTAAATGATCAGTTCATGTTCATAATGCTCAGTTTAACCAATAATACATGCATAACCAATTATAAAACAATACACTGCTAAAAATGTGGTGAAGACGAACCTATGTATATACACTCCGTGGTGGTATTTATTTAGAGATAACTACTAGCTGGTTGGTACATTTTTAATACCTATGTACATATTTGTGGGCGACCCACTGCTGATGCGCTTTCCACTCACCGGTGCCCTTTGACACCAAATCGTCAAGGCTTGATAATACGAGTGAACTGGTATTAAAGTTTTCCTCAAATCAATACTGAGGTTCGACGAGTACAGGCAGAATCCAATTGAGGACATACTAGTAAATATATACGTACCAGGTTTGTAAGAGGGAAAGGGATTCTTATTTTAATCCGAATTCTGCAATTTTACTTACAAATGTGTACATACTCAGGTACTTTGGTCAAACTAATCCCACTAAAGTCAAATAAAACGCTTTTTCATCTAGACAAAAGCTCCTGCATACGTATTAAGATATACAATCTGACGAAATTATATAAATAATTTTAAATAAATAAGTTGTTGAAATGAAGTATCGATCAGTCAAACCTTTATATATATTTTTTTCATGCCAGTCTATATGCATAAATATATACGTGTACGTATGTATGTATGTACGTACGTATGTACATATACCCAAATGAATTAGATTTATCGTCAATTTCTTTTAATATTGGCAACTTAAACGATTCTACATCAGTTTTTTTTACCTACAAAACGATTAAATTAAATTGATCTTTGTATCCTGCTTTTTCGAAGTACATTGGATTTGTATATTAAATACGTAAAATATCAGTGGTACATATATTGAAACTAAAATCATACAGATAAGTAAGTACGATTACATGCTAACATTTATACACGTATGTTAAAGGCTGCCCACTTAGACAGTAAAACAGTGCTCCATGACCTTAATAATTCGACCTGATTGTAGAAGACTTTTATAAAATCCTTGGAAAACAAGTTGAGTATAAAGCCTGTATTAATTCTGCTACGGCTTGATTTTAGAATTATACTGGTCTGTAGAAATTTTATAAAAACTTTAGTACCGACCTATTACTGCATCGTATTACTTATAAGTACCACTTGGGTACTGATATGAATACTGTTTGATATTATTTGGATACTAGATTTTTAAGAGTGCATATGCTTGACTTTAGCACGAATTTAATTTCATTGGTTACCAACCAATCGAGTTAGCCTGGCCCAGCGTGAATCACACCGGTTTTGTGCAAGTAAAGTTCGAAAGTTTCGAATTGAAATTGCAAAAAAATGCAGAAACTTATTAAATTCCTAACTTCAAGACTTCACACATTCACCAGATTTGAAACGTTGGAACATTTCATTATATTTCTGGAAACCTTTCTGTACCACCAACGCCTTACATGGGACCGTAAAAATAAGCACCCCATCCCTACCCGTAAAACTAAATTGATTCCCTGGTACACCCAATCCGCTCTCGTTATTTTTGTAGCTTGTGCCATTCCGGTTAAAGTTGTATTGGAAATTTTGGCGTACAAGAAAGATCCAGAGTTTACGCTGACCACGGGCTTAATGTTCTCTTTGTTTCAGTCGATTCTAACAATCAGCGTGGTAAACGTTTTCACCTATATTTTCAAAATAGACGAACTCCGCTTCGGACTGGGGAACCTTTGGAAGATGAAGAACACAGCTGATGCCAATTTTGAGCCAAGTAAGTTATTATATACATGGGAGTAGCCATGGACATGTAACTTATAACTTAAAAGTATGACGTATGACTTATTTGATAAGATATAAGTCATAGAAACGCTATAATATGGCATACTAATTCATAAAAGACCTAAGTGCAGTCGGTGTTTAATTCAGGAAAGACCTAAGTGTACAAAAAAAAAGTAAAAAAAGACCTATGTGCAAGTATGTATGTATTTTACTTATGGCTATATCTTGTCAAAACGATTCTTCGTATATCGCGAGATTTAGCCATAAGTAAATTCATACTTGCACATAGGTCCTTTTTTACCTTTTTTCTGTACACTTAGGTCTTTTCTGAATTCAGCATCGACTGCACTTAGGTCTTTTATGAATTAGTACGACGATATGTCGACGTATACTTCTAATTAATTATTACAGTCAAAAAAAGGAGTAATCGTAATGTTAAGTTTTGCGTCCATGGCTGCTCCATGTATCTAATGTGTCAATATAAAGTGTTATATGGATGTCCCCTAAATTTTCAGGGTCCGACCCCCCACAATATGACATGGTCGGTATAGTTTTTCACGGATTCATCCCAAACGTGTTAACATATCCAATTACAGCGGCAACCTTGCCATTCCTGCTGCAACGAGACGATCCTTTATACCACATACTTCGTCCCGCCACATTCATACCTTCAAATTTACGGTTGCTCTTACGTGTATGCTTCCTGTTCTTCGGAGCCATGCATTGCGCAACGATACTACTTTTGGGCACAATATTCTGTCTCACGATCGGCGAGGCGTTTCGCACCTGCCAAAATGTGTTACTTTTTGGCACAAAAAATCCTAAGATAATGTTTGGACGAAATTTATTTTTCCCATTTTCTATGGATCTTCACAAATATCGACAATTAAGTATTATTGCCAAGGTTACGAACGAATTTATCTATTACACGTTACCCGTTTCATTTCTGGTCGAAATACTGGGTGGCGTCGTGTGTGGCTATATTTTAATCAAGATGACCGGACTTATCCCAATCACTTTGACGGTACTTGTGGCCAATTGTGCGATACTCATGATCGTCATTATCCTTTGGGTCGTGCGTCAATTTGGGGACGTCTTCTACCAGTCGGGAGACGTTATTAGGGCATGGAATCTTAGCGTGGGGGAATCCAAGTATAGAAGTCGACAAGTTAAGAGTTGTCAAAGGTTGAGAATTGAACTGGGACCGTTCTGTTTCATTAAGAATGAGACGAGGTTGGAGATGATTTCGCAAATGACGTATTACACTATTTCTTTGGTTATGTCGGTGTAATTTTGGCAGGTTTAAGGCATAAATGATTTCACCCGCTTTGCAATTAGTAAATTATTCAGGATATGCAAATGTTTAGAAAATAATCAGCATTCTTAAATTTTACATACACTCACGTACCTTAGTGAAATTAATTTCAATAAAGCAAAATCAACGCGCTTTAGGAACATACATATTTAGACATATAGACATATATACCTAAATACCATGGCGCACATTCGTAGCTACTTAACTTTACCAACTAGAAATCAATCTTAAGTAAATAAGTTGTTGAAATGAAGTATCGATCCATCGTATCTTTGTTCAAATATGTACATATGTACATGTTTACATGCAATTTCATTTGCATATGTACGTATGCACAAAGAATATGCCCAAATGAAATGGATTTATTGTAAATTTCTTTAAACATTGGTAAACATTAAAGGCTTTATGTACTTTGGTTGTGTGTGTACTAAAAAATGTAAATTGAACTGTATCTTATAATTACATATAATGTAATATCAATAGTATATTGAAACTAAGATCATATCTATCGTGCACACTAGGTATATTTGAGCATTGAATATTAATTTATATATGATTGTATGTATTCGTGCTAAAAAAAATTGTAACCTGAATTTATTTTGTACATATGCATATCGGCTAATCATACATAAGTAGGTCGCCATCAAATCAATCTGTAATATACGTACTGCCAATCTACTTACCTATCAATTAAATGTAAGTACATACATACCGTAAATACTCTATTTATAGCCGGGGCTAAAATCCAAAGCTGTGGGTAACGGACCCGGCTACAAATAGAGACCGGCAATAATTAGAGACCCGGCTAAATTTTAGATGTTACAAGATCATGCTGACCCAATTTGAGTTTTGTTATTGAGCAAGATATGACTTTAGTAACCCATTCACATTAAATCTACATCTTGAAACGAGGTTTAGCAGTTTTTTTTAAGTTTCTGTCATGATTATATAAATTATTAACTTGAAATTAATGGGTAAGAATCAGTAGGTCAACTTATTCGTTGATTAGCATAATGTGCTTAATTTTTCTTGAATGGGCAATGAACGGCCATAATTAGAGACTCCGGGTTATTTTTAATCCACCAGACTTTTAATTGAAATCACATAACTAAATATATTGAAATCGCATAACTTGAATTTCCAGTGCTTTAATTCAATTTAAAAACTGTAAAATTGAAATCTGCCAGACTTTTCTGAATCATACATTTTACTCAATTTCGAAGATTTGCCTTTAGAAATTTTAGGAAAAGATGAGCCATTTCTTTGAATTTTTTTATAAAAAAATTCCGTCAACAAGTAGGCGGCCTGCCGGCCTTGGCAGGGCAGACCCCGAAGGCTCAATGTCCCAACAGGAACGGTCATGGCGTCCTCTCTCTGATGTTGAAACCTTTCCAAATTATTGCAATTCCTAGACCGCAGGAAACAACGGTCCCCGGCACCCCTTCTCACTTTTTAGGGAACTAGTTTCCGGTTAATGCTCCAGTTAACCTACATAGATAGCTTCTTTAAAGTTGGAACGAGGTCATATGTCGGTGTAGAGCATTATTTTGCAATCTAACGAGACGAAGTCCCTGTCCAACAACGCTCATATGCTTGAGGCTTACCATTATGTGGCTCACCACTGGACTCGTTTTCTAAAAGTGTTTTCATTTATTGACTCAACTATGTACATGATTTGTGCTTGGGAATCCTGGAGCTTAGGCCCCATACTTCTGGTTAACAAATTTTGTTTCGAACACCCTTAGAAATCCAAGATCCAAATAATACCAAGTATTCATTATCAGGCTATCATAAATGTATGATTCTACCAAAGTGGTATTGATAAGTAATACGGTGTAACACATCACAGTTCGCTATTAAAGTTTTACAATGTCGGTAGGAAATTATGATTTTAATACCAAGCGGTAGCAACTTTATAATACCGAGAAATCAATACCAGCCCGAGTATACCAGATTTCTGACAGTGAAGTGGTTGCAAAATTCCTTGGTGTCTCCGATTTCTACTACTGTGCACTCCTAGATTATGATTGTATGGTTTACCATTGATTAGAAGAGCAAGGGATACCTCAAGAGTAACTATTTTGATGGATTTTTGCATATCAATGAATTCATAAGTTATGAAATTCCGTGTCTGATGGATTCAGTTATAGAGGTTGTTTTAGGGCATATAAAGTAATGGAAATTCAAGTTATGGAATTTCAATATATTTAGTTATGTGATTTCAATTAAAAGTCTGGCCCATTAAATGAGACCCTAGAGACCCCGGGTCTCAGACCCGGCCATAATTGGGGACCCGGCTATAATTAGAGACCCGGCTAAAATTTTATAATCTTGGTCTCTAGATCCGGCTATATTTGGAGACCGGCTATAATTAGAATATGGCTATAAATAGAGGTTTTACGGTATATTCTATATACATTTTTATATTTGCATATTGGTCAGCTCTTCTTATTGTATGTCGGATTGGCCAGACATTCCTAGTGAACTTTGACTTTTCAATACCTCCAAATTCCACAATTCTTGACTTTCTTAGAAAATCCTGTGGTAGGTATGTGCACACATATTTACTGCAGGATATTACTTGGTGATAAAAATTCGAATAGTGTAATTATTAATTTGAATATTTGTTTTGAAAAACGTTATACAGGTCGTAACTATAGTTACGACCTGTGTACATATGGTGCATAAATGTGAAGATTTTAAATTTCTATTTAAAATTTATTTACGAGTTGGAATATGATTTTGTAACGTAGGCATTGATTTCTCTGTATTAATGTTACTACGGGTGGGTATTAAAATTACACCGGCCGGTAAACATTTGCCACAAAGATTGCAGGACTTCAATATCTACATAGCTATTACTCCTTATACTTATTTGTACCTCATTACTTATCAATAATTCCATACTTATAGAATCAATAATTCGTATGTAAATGAATAGCTACTGGTACCGGATTTCTAGGAGTGTACGTATTTGACTTTAGCGCTAATCTAATTTCACACATTACCCACAAATCGAGTTAGCCATAGCCGCCACTTTCGCATTCCCCTCTTTACTACAATTTTCACCCTGACTGAAAAGTAGCCCGCGTAATCGCCTAGGAATCGCATAAAAGCTAGTACACTCGCCAGACCCCTTTTGATCACAAGTTTACACTCAACCAGCAAAGCTACCACCGCCATCGCTATCACCGTCGCACACAAACCGAGAAAGTAAAACAGCGCGGGAAACGCTCCCTCGTGCGAATTTGAGACTTGAACGTTTCCCTCTTTAAGGTTGGAACTGAATTTTCGAAATAACTTTGATTTTAGCTCTGGTCCAAAATACGCCATGAAACGTAGCTGCACCATCATACTCTCAAGGGCACCCCATCTCCCCGATATCCCTGATTCCCCTAATCTTACAAGACATTTATATATTTTCGGCGAAACATGGTTTTGTTGGTCGTCCAATGTCAATCCGTAAAATTCGAAAGGTACGTCAGAGTGAGCAAAATTGACGTACATAAATGTCACTAAATCAAGGAGGAATATAGCCCCGAATTCGGCCTTGTTTTTAGGGAGCTTGCGCATATCTCGGTTAAATTGAATTAGAATGGTTACTGTAATACAAAAGGTTAACAGGAGAATCCACGTCGAATGATCAAATGGCGTTAAAACGTTCCCATAACTACTTTCGGCTTTTGGAAATTGCGTAACGATTGAAAATCGAAATTTTCTAAGGAACAAAGTAACTAATTTTTGCTCGAGGTAATCAAGCTTTCCTATTATTTTACTGTTTAAAACGAAATTAAACTTGATATTCGCGATAATCAAGTCGTCCGAAGCTTTGAAGTGATCTTCGTGCGCAGTAGTGCAATTTAGATGCGTTCCGATCACGTAGCTTAGACACGGATTTAAAGTCTCCGAAGGGTAGAA